CTCACCCCTTTGCTGAACTTTGGCTTCCCATCTGCAAAAGGGACCTGTAAGCCCTAAGCTGCCTCCTCCCATTCCAGTTCGGACACTCAAATGGACATAAAGGTGAACTCTACTGTCATTTTGTCCAAATAATGGCTTGTGTCTTTTTCTGATAATAAAATTCCCATTTGCTCTTTGTAGAAAACTTGGATGGGAGAGCAAAACATAATGAAAAAAATCTAGAAATTCCTGAAATCCAAATTCTCAGAGATTATGATGAGGTTCACATTGGGTAGTACATCTCATTCTAGCCTAAAGGCCAGATCTAGTTTGAATCCTGGCCCTGTTACTCCCTAACTGTAGGTTCTCAGGAAAGTCACTTTTCCTCTCAAGGCATCGGTTTCCTCATCTGTAAAGTGGGATTATTCAGACTGGCCTGGTAGCAATGTGATAAGGATGTAAAGAAATCAAGCATTAGCATAAGATCTGGCACACAAGTAGGTGCTCAAATATTATTTCTTTAGGGTTTCACAGTAAATACCTGAGCTTTACAGGAAAATTCACTCTCACATCTTCAGGTCCTGTCCTTTCTAGAATATTTAACCTCCTTGAGTTTCTTGCGCCTCCAACTAAGATAGCAGCTGTGAAGCCATAAGGGCTTTTGGGGGCCCATTGTTTTGGAGGGGGTGCTTGGCCATCTCTGATGCCTCTTCCCCTCCCTCCTGCCCTCTAAGCCAGAGAATCTGCTGTACTACAACCTGGATGAAGACTCCAAGATCATGATCTCCGACTTTGGCCTCTCCAAGATGGAGGACCCTGGCAGTGTACTCTCCACGGCCTGCGGGACTCCGGGATACGTGGGTGCGGAGGGCTCTGGGCTGGGACCATGGGCAGGGGGGGAACCAGAAGCTGCAGGGCAGAGATTTGTCACCACCATGTCCTCTTCCCTCCATAGCCCCTGAGGTCCTGGCCCAGAAACCCTACAGCAAGGCAGTGGATTGCTGGTCCATTGGAGTCATTGCCTATATCCTGTGAGTGGGGTCTTGGCCACTGGGGTGCATGGCTCCAGAGTTCTCTTCTCCCTACTTTGCTCTCTTCCTCCCCTCTGCAATTTCTTCCTTCATGCCTTCCACATTTTTGTCTACCAATTAATGACTAATATTACTTCATTCAATAGATACTATGTTTCAGACATTGCACCAAGCACTGGGTGTTTAGCAGAGAACAAAACAGACAAAGTGCCTGCCCTCAGGGAGCAGACACTCTAGTAAGGGAGACAAGTAAATAACAAGTAGATAAATCCATAAAACGTCAGGTGGTAAAAAGTACTATGAAGAAAAATGAAGCAGGGTAGGGAGTGGGGGATGGATGCCATTTTAGATGAAAAGGTCAGGGAATGCCTCTCTGAGGTGACATTTGAGTGGCATCCTGAATGAAGCGAGCCAGACGTAAATAGCAAGTGTAAAGGCCCTAAGCAAGGAAAGATGGTGGCATGTTAAGGAACAGAAAGTGGAACTGGACAGAAGTGAACAAGGCAGAGAGGGGTAGATTCCCTCAGCCCCCTTTGTAAAAGGGGGGACTCCTTCCTGTGGGTCTTGCCTAACCCCTGGGACTGCCCCGAAGCTCCACCCCGGAGCCAATGGGGACACTGAAAATGGAAAATGAGGATGAGTTTCTCCCTGCCCAGGCTCTGCGGTTACCCCCCCTTCTATGACGAGAATGATGCCAAACTCTTTGAACAGATTTTGAAGGCCGAGTACGAGTTTGACTCTCCTTACTGGGACGACATCTCTGACTCTGGTATTTGGGGCTTTGCCTTCTTCCTCTGGGCCCTGCCTCTGGTGCCTTCCTCATCTGCTTTGGGGTCTTCTCACTGCCTTCCCTAAGTCAGTTGGGCCCCAGACTAAGAGCTGTCTTTGAGACACCAACCCCCGGCTCTTCCCTCTGCCTGGCCGTGATCTGAGAAACCTGTAGGCATTCATCCATTCAGTCTTCAAACATAGTATTTCTGAAAATACCTCCCACTGACATCCTAATGCCTAAAACACCACATAAATGTTTCCATCTGTCCTTTTGTGCCTCCTAGTAGGAGGCAAACCTGTGAAACCATTATCAATCATTTACACATCAATGTGAATACACTGAGTAGAATCTTCTAGGAACAAGTTTTTCTTAAGGGAAAAAGGAGAGAGCTGGAATGCTGGGGTGTGTGGAGGGCTTAGAGAAAGAGAACAGGTGGGGTGTGACGGTGCATGAACAAATTTAGCCGCTCATCTTGCTTAGATGCCAGGCCAGACCTGAGGGGTGGATTCTGTTTTGGGGGTGTCTATAGGCACTACCATGTTCTTTCTGTCTTTACTTTTGTCTTGGTCCAGCCAAAGATTTCATCAGGCACTTGATGGAAAAGGATCCAGAAAAGAGGTTCACCTGTGAGCAGGCCTTGCAGCACCCATGGTGAGAGCTTCCATGAGTTGTGAACTGGGGAAGGGCCTGGGCCCCCAGGCCTGCCTCTGCCTTCACAGATAACCCTCCACATACCCTTACTCTAGGATTGCAGGAGATACGGCTCTAGATAAGAATATTCACCAGTCAGTGAGTGAGCAGATCAAGAAGAACTTTGCCAAGAGCAAGTGGAAGGTGAGCCCACATTCCTAGTCCTGGGTCCCAGCTTCCCGGGATTTCTCCCCTCCCGCAACCATGCCTCAGCTAGCACAACACCTAGCATCAAGTTGGGTACACAGTAACTGCTCAAGGATGCTTACCAAAGAACCTTTCATTCATTCAATGTTCCTTGACACCTACTGTATTCCAGTGAAGATCTCTGACCTCCAAGTCTGGAGGGAGAACAGTATATAATTCTTAAGGAGACATCTAACCCAACCTACAGGGTCCTGAAAGGGGCATCAAGTCGGTGATGGCCTTACAGACCTACAGTGGAGTAGGAATTAGCCAGGCATAGTAGAATAATGTCTAAGGCCATAGTAGAATAATGTACAAAGGGCCAAGGACAAGAGAAAGTATGGACATTCAAGGAAGTGCCAGTGCTAAGGATGGCTGTACTAGAAGGGCTTTGGGGGCAGTGAGGGCTTCTGGGATGTAGGGCCCAGGCTGGAGATGCAGATAGAAGCCAGGCTGCTTAAGGTCTCGAGTGGCACAGTGGAACACTGACTTGATCCTAACGATGCTAAGGAGCCCTAGAAGGATTTTCAGCAGGAATTTGCCCTTTAGAAAGGGCTCTCAGGGTGCAGAGAGAGGCATAGAGTGAAGGCTTGGAGAACCCTTAGGAGGATGTGGCAGAGAGACAGGCCAGAGACAGTGAGGACTTACCAGAGCAGTGGCAACAGGAACAGAGAACAGTAGTTGGTGCAGGAGTCAATTAGGAGGTGGAATTGACAAGAAGTGATGGTAGAATGGATATTGATGTGAGAGATGCCAAGGGCTGGCTTGATACTTGTTTTGGGGGATTACTTGGGTTTTGGACATGGTGAATTTGAGGGTTTCATGGAGACATCTTGGGGATATCCTATCTAATAAAGAGGGAATATGCTACTTGGCCATCATGTCCTCACAAAGATGGTGGTACTTAAGCCAATAAGGAGGGATATACTAATTGATTGTCATGCCCTCAAAGATGGCAGCACCCATAGCCACAAGATGGCGGTGCCCAGCCGCCCAAGGCACAGGCAAGCCTCAGATGGCAGCTGCCCAGCCGCCCAGGGCTGCTCGAGTCTTGCACTGCCAGCAGTGGCAGCAGTAGAGGTGTGATGGGCACATCTCCTTTCCCTGATTGCCAGGTTGTCTCCCACCCCCGAGGGCTCCCAGACTGTGAGAGGGGGCAGGCCGGGCTGAGGGACCCCCCCTCCGCTCCAGTGCATGAATTTTCATCCACTGGGCCTCTAGTGTTAAATAATGATATATACACACCTGGGCAAGTTACTTAACCTCTCTGTGCCTCAGTTTCCTCCTTTGACAATGGTGACACTAATAGTGCTCACCTCAAAGATTTCCATAAAGATTAAATGAATACTATGTAAAGTGTTTAGAATGATGCCTAAAATATGCTATATTGTGTTTGCTATTATGTAAATATGAGTTATATAAAAGTTACATATCTGTTTACATACTTTTTATATATGTGTGTGGATGGGAGTGTAAATATGTAATATGGCTGAATATAATTTAATAAAGCCTTGCAGATATTTTAGGTGGTTTTAGGGAATAACATCTGAAAATAACAGAACCACTGCAAGAATCCCACCGCCAGACCCTGCCCCATGATCTCCCATTCTCTGAAAAGTCCCTTCTCCCCCCATCTCCCCACAGCAAGCCTTCAATGCCACGGCTGTGGTGCGGCACATGAGGAAGCTACAGCTGGGCACCAGCCAGGAGGGGCAGGGACCCACGGCAAGCCATGGGGAGCTGCTGACACCAGCAGCTGCAGGTGAGGACCAGGACTCTGTGAAAGGGTGTGGGTGGTCCACGAAGAGGCACCCAGACTGGAGTGGAGTGTCTGCTTCTACAGCCAAGTCTGTTCTCTCCCCATGTAGGGCCAGTGGCTGGCTGCTGCTGTCGAGACTGCTGTGTGGAGTCGGGTCCGGAAATGACCCCCGGGATGTCCCCCCAGCTCTAGGTCCCTGGATCCAGGGTCAGGATCCCCTGTGTATGAGAGATTGGGGGCAGACTGCTCCCCTTCTCTCCTTGAACTGAGGTTACCCAGTTCCGTCCAACCTCACCCCACCCCTTTTCCTACCACTCCCCCATTGCATTTTCCATACAAATGTTTCTATTTTATTGTTCCTTCTTGTAATAAAGGGAAGAGGATAAAACCAAAGGTAGCTTTGTCTCCCTAGATGACCCCCCACCCCCACTCCACATTGTTATGCAAACTGCTTGGCTTGAGGTTGTCTGGACCCTGAGGTAGTTGCATGGAGCTCCCTTCCCAACATGAATCTGGATGGAGGAGAGTATAGGGAATGGAGGGAAAAGATATTGGGAGAATCCCTTTGTCCTGTGCCCCCCACCTAGACTTCGAGCCCTGTGGATCTCTTTCTGCGCTTTGCTGGTGGTTTTTGGTGGGGTTGGCGTAGGTCAGCACTGAACAGCACCTGGGGGCAGGGGAAGAGTCTATGTGAGGACAGGGTACACTGGGTTCAGGGTACACTAGCTGGTAGGGCTGGTGGTAAGGTGGGGAGAACTGGCATTACTGGGGAGCAGGTCCAGAGAAAGACAAGTCCACTAGAGACAGGGCTGGGGATGAAGGGTAGAGAATCCTTTAGGGTCACCTAAGGCGCAAGCAGTAGAAGAGTCCCTGGGTCAGGGCTTGGGGAGAAGTCCTATGGGGTCAGGGCTGGAGGAGAGGAAGCCTAGGTATACTCACTGCTTGGGCCCAGCCAGCATAAGGTCCCCACAAACTCCGGAAAAAGTTTCCTAAATCAGAGATAGTGAGGCAAAACAAATTGGCCCCACATCCCCATCCACAGTGGTGGGGTATTAGGGAGAGAGGTGAGAAGTGTCTACCACCTCAGCCAACTGCCAGCCCTGGCATCTCCCTCTCTCCTTACCTAGTTCCTTGTTGGCCTGGGGGCTTGGACCCTTGCTCTGGGTTGTTGTGGGATGCCAACTGTAGTCACGTTGGGCGATCTGCCATACATGGACATCCACGGGCACAGCCTCGGGCTTGTCTAGGGCCATCAAGCAGATGCAGTCAGCCACCTGTGACAGATATAAAGAAATGGCAGGATCTAGGCAGCATCCTGCTTCTAGCCCAAAAGCCAACTATACTTCCTCTGCCACTCTGAGATTCTTCTTCTTCTATATTCCCAATCAATATATACCAATTATTAATAATTTTAAATACAGATGAGATGAGAGTGCTACTGCATGAATACCTACAGACGCCAAGTTCTCATATCCTGAAAAGACGCTGGTACTATATTCACTTTGCAGATAAAAAAAATGAGGTTCTAAAAGATTAAATGAGTTGGCCCAAGTTACATGGCTAGGAAGAATCAGAACAAGGACTTAATGTTAAAGTTCAGAGCCCATAAAAAAAAAAAAAAAGAAAGTTCTTTAAACAAAACTGCAGAGAAGTATATAGAAGAACTCAATAAATGTCAGATTTGCAATCCTCTTGTTGAAATTAAAGAGAAAGTTTTATAAGTACATATAATTCACAAGAAGAATAAAAGTAGAAAAACCGCTGAAACCGGTTTGGCTCGATGGATAGAGCATCGGCCTGTGGACTGAAAGGTCCCAGGTTCGATTCCAGTCAAGGGCATGTGCATTGGTTGTGGGTACATCCCCAGTGGGGGGTGTGCAAGAGGCAGCTGGTCGATGATTCTCTCTCATTGATGTTTCTAACCCTCTATCCCTCTCTTTTCCTCTCTGTAAAAAATCAATAAAATATATTAAAAAAAAAAAAAAGTAGAAATACCTTCCTATGTATCTTCCCAAAGGTAACCACTATTACGTTTCCTGTGATTCCTTCATGAAATTTATATATATAAATATATATATATATAAATTTCATGTATACGTGTATATGTGCACCTGAACAAATGTCCTTTCTACAAATGCACTCAAAGGGCAATGTCCTTTATACCCTTTTTGCATTTTCTCTAATAAAGTATCCACTTGTATTGCTTTTCCTTCCTGCTCTGCACCCAGCACTCAGGCCTGTCTTGTCTCCTACTCTGTTACTCTCTACATGGGTGGTCTGAGGGTAGTTCCTACCCACCATGAGGCCTCACCTTGGTGCCCACTCCAGGCAGGGTGCAGAGGGCCTTGTGGGCCTCTTCGTAAGGGGCCTTGCGCAGCTGCTGCAGCCAGGGCAACCCCCCCTGCTCTTCAAGGATGGCTCGGGCACTGGCATTCACATAGCGGGCACGGTACCCAAGGCCCAGCTTCCTGAGCTTAGTCTCCACCTCTGCCCCTGTAGGAAGATGGGGAAAGGAGCAGGGTCAGGCATCCTCAAATCCTTTTATATATTCAGGCTAGGGTGAGTCCTCCACCCCAAAGGAATACTTTCATAAGCACCTCTCTCCCACCTCACCACCCTCTGGGAGACCCTGGGATACTTGCATGTGCAAAGAACAGGTTTAAGGTCTGGGTTTTACCCCTCTACAAATGTTTTCTGAACACCTATTTTGTGTTGAGCACTAGATTAGGGACTCAGAAGGGCTTGCTGTCCTGGAGGAACTTCCTAATTGAGTTTCTTAACTTTTCCAAAGGGCTGTTCACACCCATGATCTAAAATAATAGTCATAATAATGGCAAGAGCTTCTATGATCAAGTGTGGTTATCAAATACAGACAAAGTGCTTTGGATACATTATCACATTCATTTTTCTCAAGGATACTGATAATAGTACTGTATTTTTTCAAAAAAATTTTTTCAAATATTTTATTGATTTTTTTACAGAGAGGAAGGGAGAGGATAGAGTTAGAAACATCAATGAGAGAGAATCATCGATCAGCTGCCTCCTGCACACCCCCTACTGGGAATGTGCCCACAACCAAGGTACATGCCCTTGACCGGAATCAAACCTGGGACCTTCCGCAGGCTGCTGCTCTATCCACTGAGCCAAACCGGTTTCGGCTAAAATATATTTTTATTGATTTCAGAGAGGAAGGGAAAGAGAGAGAGAGAGATAGAAACATCAATGATAAGAGAGAATCATTGATTGGCTGCCTCTTGCATGACCCCTACTGGGGATAGAGCCCACAACCTGAGCATGTGCTCTGACCAGGAATCAAACCCTGACTTCCTGATTGGTCAACACCCAACCACTGAGCAACACTGGCTAGGCTGTTTTTCCTATTTCACAGATGTTTTCCCTATTTCAAAATGATGACTTAGAAAAGATTAAGTAACTTGTTGAAGAAGGGACACGGTGGAGATGGGACCTGCACTTGGTCTGAAACACCAACTCCTGTGCTCTAAACCCGCTTCATGATTTATTCCCTCTAACCCTTCTAGATAGGAATTGTTATACCCATCCTACAAACAAGTTAAGGGAAGTCTGAAAGGGTGAATGAGTTTCTTGAGTTCTTATGAATACTAAGCTGGAAACTAAGGTATAAGACTGGGTTTCTAAGCACCAAAAACATTCTTTTTTTCTCCAGGCAGGCTGTCTCCTTACTATACATTCCCCAAGCACTTTCCCTAACTTGGTCCTCACTTCTGCCAACTGAGATACTTATTTCTGTAAAACTTGCCTCACAGGGCTGCTGTAAAGAATGTGTGTTCTTGGATACAAAATTGTTGGATTCACCATAGAGATAGGAACTTGCATTTTCTGCATATTCCCCATATGCCAAACAATGTACAAGATATCTAAAAAAGCAGTATGTGTATGCTTTTACTCAACTCTTGTGACAACTCTGAATGTTATTACATTCCACAGATGAAGAAACAAAGGAGAAGCTAAATTTGTGCCAGAGTTGGGATTCAGACTAAGGCACTCTCTTTCCAGAAGACGTGTGTAGAGGTTTCTCTCTATGGAGCATGCCTGTGCTTTCCCTCACCCACTTCTGCCAAGGTGCATTTTCCTTGCCCCTCTCTTTCTCCTTAGCTCCAAGGGTCCTTCTTTTGCCTTTGTAACTTGTTTCCTGATGCCATTTCTTTTACAGCTCACTTCTACCTCTGTGACTTTCTAAATAAACTTTCTCTTAAAAAACACACACAATAGCCTTGACCCGTTTGGCTCAGTGGATAGAGCGGTGGACTGCAGACTCTATCGGGTTCGATTCTGGTCAAGGGCATGTACCTTGGTTGCGGACACATCCCTAATGGGGGGGTTTGCAGGAGGCAACTGATCGATGTTTCTCTCTCATCGATGTTTCTAACTCTCTGTCCCTCTCCCTTACTCTCTGTAACAAATTAATTAAAAAATATATTAAAACACACAAACACAAAAACAACAAGCATATGCATTTAACCCCAAACTATTACACACCGCATATGGATGTTTTTCTGATGAGGCATTGACATCATGGGGCAAAAAACAAGAGTAGTGAGGTGCTGACATTTCAGGGACTGACAGGGAGGGTGAGGTATGTCTGGGGCTGATCGGACCAGATAAGATGATTCTGGATGAGGGCAGTCTTTGGGAAGGCAGGAAGCTTTGAGATGGGAGATGGGGACCAGGGGAGAACCGAACAGACTCTGAAAGCTGTTAGTGAGCCTTGGGCCAGGCACCCACCTACTCACCAGCCAGGGCCTGCAGGCTGGGGAAGCCATGGTAGGTGACATCATCAAGCTGGATGAGCCGAGGTCCGAAGGCTTGGCAGAGCCGCTCCACCATGCCAGTGATGCGAGCAATGTTGTTGTTGGAGGAACAGATGAAGGAGAAAAGGCACTCGATGGGATCCTGTTGTAGGAGTCGAACACCTGAAGATCATAAAGGCAACAGGTAAGAGAAGCACTGTCAGGAGTGACCGCCTCTCACCCTCAGATCCTAACCATGTAGGCTCTCAGGGGAATGAGGGACAAAGTTTGTTAGAGAAAGCAACATCATTCCTCATAGCATCTTGCGAGGTCTGGGTCATCATCCCATTCCACAGATAAGCCACAACGTAAGCACTATGAGGATGGGGATTTGTGTCCATTTTGTTCACTGCTATATCCCCAGTCACATTGCAGATGCTCTGTGATATTTACAGAATGAATGATGTCACCTACCCTAAGTCACATATCCAGAATTTGGCTCAATATCCTTGTTACTCCATGATGGTGATCAGTAGGACAATCATAATAGTAATAAGGCACTATTCTAACATTTTACATGTATTAGCTCATTTAATCCTCATAAAATCCTATAAGGGAAATATAATCCCCCACTTTATAGATGGTGAAACTGAGTAACCTAACCAAACTACAAGAACCCCAACCCAATCCCTGTTCCAATCCCTATACTCACCTTGGAATTCCTGAGCTACTTTTTGGAAGTGGGGGTCCTTGGAGCTCCAGTGGCGATACAGTTGAGCCAGGCTGACATCCAGCTGGAAGTACTGGCGCAGGGCCTTTAGCTCTTCTGGTGTGGGCTTGCCAGTCTGGCCCTTTTCTCCTCGGTACACAGTGCAGAAGAGCTGCTCCTCGGTCTGGGTCAGTGTCCATACCTGGTCTGCCAGCACGCCACTCCAGTGCGCAGGGTTTTGCTCCTTCCACCTGAGACCCCAGGCACAGGGCTCAGGTTCCCTTTTGGCAACCTTTGGTGCCCTCCCATCCTACAACCTTTCCACATATAAAACTGATTTATCAATTGTAAAGTAAAAATGCTTTATTTGACATCCATTATCTCATTTGATCCTCACAACACTGCACAGGCTTATTATGTCTTTATAAAAAAAGGTAACATTTTCCCACCCTTACAACAAAAACGGGCCATTAAAAAAAAAAAAAAAGTAACAGGCTCTCCACTCCTGTGCCTCAATTTCCTCTTTCGTACATTGAGATTTCTTCCGTCACACCCAACTTTGCACTTCAGGCTAAGCAAGGTCACTCACCGGAAGGATTGTCCAGAAGCTAGAACCAAGTCCAGGCGCAGCTCAGAGCGTGGACAGGGGATGGAGGCCCACAGGGCCGGGAAGGAGGATAGAGTGCGATGCCCCATGCTAACCAGGCACAAGGGAGCAGGCTAATATTTCTGTGTCAGGCTCCACCCCATAATGGCCACGCCCACTCGGAACCAGATCTAGTCGCTACCAACAGACCATGCCCACCAAGAGACCGCGAACCTGGCCTCGCTCACCGAAGGCCTCTTCCAACTCCACGAAACCCTCGCCTCTCAATGTTTGTATTAAGTTCCGCCCAGTCTCCTCCTTCCACTCCTCGCAGGTCCCGCCCTCTCCGCTCTGTCCCGCCTTCTCCCCTGCACCTCCCGCCCACCAGCCCCAGGGCGCTCACCACGGTGCCTCGAGCTGCCGTAGTTCGGGACGCGCGCGCACGCGCACTCTTCCGGCCTTGCTTGAGAAACCTTACCGGAAGTAGGGCTTTCAGAAGCCTTACCGGAAGTAGGGCTCAGGTCCGGGTTTATTGGATCTGGAGGTGGCCAATCCGCGGGGACATACGAGGCACCAATGAGAACGGGCGTGGCGGCGCTGGGCGGGCCTTCCCGCGGCGTCTCAGCGGTTGGCGCGCGCTGGGCTCGCCGCTGGCTCTTTCCGGGCTTTTGCTCTGCCTCAGGCCGGCTGGCGTGTCCCCACCGGGCGGGCCCTGAGGCTCGCGGTCCTCACTGGCTGATGTCCTCAGACTCGCCGGCCCTCACAGCCAAAGCCTATCCCCGCCATCTTCAGAGAGCCTTCCTCCACCGCGCCTCTCTAGTCTCGCTTTCCTAGGTCCTCTTACGATGAACCCCTGTTCACTGAGAATCGGACCCGGACCCGGACACAGCGCCTGTCTCCTGAGGAAATGTCTCCGCGCCGGCCGGTCTAGGGCCTCCTGACCGACTTCACTCCGAGGCCTGCCCCCTCAGATCGTCCCGCCTCCTGTCCCTGCCGCCGCTACTCCTGTCCGGACTTCCCTTCCGTACTCCCCCACCTCACACTGCCGCGTCGACTGCGGCTCGTGTAGGGGCTTCTCTGAGGCTGGGAAAGGCATCTAAGTTCAAGCACAGCTGTGTGGCCGAGAGGCAGCCTGCCTGCCTAGCCAGGTTGCCGGGGCTGTCTTCCTGAGCCCAGGAAAGGTGGAATTTCTTCCCTTCTGGAGAAAGTCACAAAAAGCTAGACCTGTGCTTTTATCCGGCGACTTTCTTTTTTCTATCTCCTAGCATAATGATTTTTGGTGGCTGATGATTAGACTGCAGATTCCCGAAGGGCAAGGTTTACAGCTGATTTACCTTTGTGCCCCACCCACATTACCTAGCAGGGAGTACCAGGATCTTGGTGTCATCAGACATGTTGTCGTCTCACTTCCACTCAGTAGCTCCAAAACCCTCCACAACTGCTTCCTGTGATTGTCTGGTCCATTGGCACACCAGCCCACAGGTGCCTAGCACTTGGAAGGCATTCCTTCAAAAGATGTTTGCATCAGAAAGGAGCCAGGGTTGGGAATGAATGGAGAAAGTCACAACTCTAGTGACTCTGAAACACTTGGACAATCCTGTTGAAGAACTGTAAACATCCGAAGTTCATGAAAGCTTGCACAGTTGGCTCTTCCTCAGGCAGTTCAGCATACTGGTTAAATTGCAGACAGACCCGAGTTCAGATCCTAGTGGGACAGCCATCATTCCCACTGGCTGTTCACCTTATCACCTGCACAGGCCTCAGGCCATTAGGTAGTTATGGATTCTCCTGACATGAGCAGGCAGAGGTGATGGGATGGTGTTTTATGCAGAATCCTAACCTTGGCCCACCACTCTGCACTATAATGCCGTGAGGTCTCTGGAGCTTTCTGGCAACTTCCTACTGAGAACTTAGGCAAGTTACTTAATTTTTCAAAACCTATGTCTTTGTGGAAATAATCACCCTATTATTAACCTTTCCTTTAATTAATGCAAGGATACATGAAACTATCTATAGGAGCTAACAGAGGCACTGCCACTCAGAAGTGCATGAGAAATGAGAGCTGTCATATTATTTTTGCTGTTGTCTTACAAATGCAACAGGCAGCAACCACTTGGGCCCAATTATTTGCCATCCCCGGGGAACAGAACCTCCCTTTGCCTTGGCAGAAGGCAGGAACCAAGAATTCCAAACAGTATTTTCTAAGAATCAATATATTTTCTTCTTTTGAAATAAATACAAACCAGTTTGAAAGGTGGGGAAATCTATGGGAAGAAGGGAAGAGGGGACAGGCCCCAGTCTTTTTAGTACCAAATGACTCTGGCGCGACCCGGAAACGCAGTTACAAATGAGAATAATTTAAATTCTCCACTAATTACAGTATTTACAAAAGCAGGGGAGGGGGTCACCTAGTGCCCCTCTTCCAGGCTGGACAGACATCAATCCCACTGTTAGGCAGGGCGGATGCCCGTTCACCTTATCTCCTGCACAGGCCTCAGGCCAATAGGCAGTTATGGATTCTCCTGGCATGAGCAGGCAGAGGTGATGGGCTGGCCTGTTTTATGCAGTGTTCTAACCTTGGCCCACTACCCTGCACTACAATGCTGTGAGGTCTCTGGAGCTTTCTGGCCTGTGGGACCTCCCCTCTCTTTGCACAGAGCTACCATGGGCCCTTGGAGTGTTCTGTACAGTCCAGCTGCACTCAGGGCAGGAGGGACCTCCCCTACCCAGCTTCCCCTGAGACTGGCCCCAAGACCAGGAATGAATCAGTGCAGAGGCCGGTGCCACTCCAGGACAGTGAGCAAAGGGGAGAGAGGTGGCAGGGCACTGTGGATTGGGCTGTGCTGGCAGTATCAGTCACTATCACTGGTCTCGCTGCTCTGCTCGCCCTGGACCTTGCTGCGGTGTTGCAGAGCCCTATGGTAGGCAATCTGCACTGATTTGCGGATGTTAGACTTGCGGCCCTCCAGCATCTTCTCCTTGTCGAGGTCCTGGTTCACACCCAGAGGAACCAGCTTAGTCCTAGGCAGCCATTGCCTACAAGATGAAGTAAGGATCAAATAAGTCCTCTCTGGGAGAGCAATAAACACCAGCCTTCCTCACTCAATTCATTTAAACACATGTCCTGAGAATGAGACTCTGGTGGGCACTGGGATTCCCTGCCCTCAAATAACTGTTCACATTGATAAAAGAGCCCAGTCAACTGTCACACTGACGGGTACCCACAGGGTATTTATGGGTACAAAAAGGAGGAGCCCCCGCCGAAACCGGTTTGGCTCAGTGGTAGAGCGTCGGCCTGCAGACTGAAAGGTCCCAGGTTCGATTCCGGTCAAGGGCATGTACCTTGGTTGCGGGCACATCCCCAATAGGGGGTGTGTAAGAGGCAGCTGGTCGATGTTTCTCTCTCATCGACGTTTCTAACTCTCTCTCCCTCTCCCTTCCTATCTGTATAAAATCAATAAAATATATTAAAAAAAAAAAAGGAGCCCTGACCTAACCTGAAATAGTCTCCTGTCCCACAGGCTCCAGGCAGACTTTATTGGTATTAAAAATCCTCTGCATATAATTAACAAAAAGATTACATATGTAGTAAATGAGACAGAAGAGGGATTCAGAGTCTGACTTTATCCTAATCTTGTCAACATGGAGGCAGAGGTAGGAAAACTAAGTCTTAGAAGTCACCTCAATCTGGGTGGGGAGCCACTCCCATATTTGTCACAGTCACTGATGGTTCTTTGTTTTCTAGTCACAGCTGTTTGTCAGCTGTGCCCAATCAGTTGCTCAGACTTGTGGTCAATACAACCCTTTTTCTTACAGACCTAACCCTCTCCCCCCACTGAATGGTGACAGCCCAGCCTGTCTGTTGCTGGAATTTCCTGGCAATCTGCCCCCATTTCCACGGTTGTATTTGTGGCTGTGAGCCACACATGCTCCCCTCCTCCCTTACCAGGTTCGCTTGTTGTCAAAGAAGAGGACGAGGTAGAGATGCTCTCGAGCTTCCTGGGTCATCTGCTCCCCAAGTTTCAGCACCTCTAGTGGGGGCACAGGAATGGGAACCCCATGGTGGAACATACCTTCCCGGGGCATCTTTGGATCAATGATCTGAAGGAATAATAAGACCTTGGTTTGGTTCAGTCCCTCTTTCCCAAGGCTTACTCTACCTAAGAATTTGGAGATTCCTTTGAAATAGAGACATGGAAAGGTTATCATGCTACTGCAATGCTGACCTTCTTCCTATGCTGAATGATTCCAGAGCCCAAGGGGTCATGGGAAGGAAAAGGGAAAGCTGGAGAAACTAACCAGGGACCTCAAACTCTCTACTTGCCAAAGACCTCTGTACTCTGCAGCTCAGCAGAGAGTAGAAAAAGTCTACTAATTGTGAGTCTGCATTCTGGGGTTGACAGGCAAGGAATATGACCAAAAAAAAAAAAAAAAAGCAAAAAACCTACCAGAGCTGGGTATGATGGATACCCTCGGCATTTGGCCCACACCAGGTCCAGAGCATCCAGTGGGGAGTCCTCATCCTCAGACAGCCAGCCAGCTCCCCGGCTCAGACTCTTCCTTACAACTTCACAGGAACGGGAGAGAGGGGGCAGATCAGCAGACAGGGGGCTGGTAAGGCCCAGACACTGGGCCCCCAGCATCCCTGGCCTCGGGCGGGGGTACTTACTGCTGTGGCCCACGCCGCGGCCAGTACCCACGGAGTAGGCCTCATTCTCAGTGCCTGAGGTATCTTCACTGCTGTCCTCTGGGAATGTGCCCCGAGAGAAGGAGGGCTTGCCCCTGCCTTGTTTTGAGGGTGTTGTGCTGTAGACAAAGAGTGGAAAATGGCATGGTGGGTGTTCTTTCTTCTTTAAACCTCCAGCGTCTAAGACTTTTGGAAAGTGGGAGCTACTTAAAGATTTTCAAATCCAAATGCTCTCAGTGGCTTGGCACTGATTTGACTGATGTGGGCTGGGTTTAGCAGTGGTGCTGACGAATGTATACCTATCTAAAAGCAATACTGGGCAGATTTGCCAGACCTAATTTTAAAAAGAACACGGAAACTGGGAATTTTATGTGGTACTTGTGAATTCCGTTGTTAAAAACACACCATGCTGGCCAAACAAAATATGTCTGTAGGCCAATCCAGGCCACAAAGCAAGAGTTTATGTCCTCTGCTCTAAAACATCAGCTGAACCCAGTGTGGTTCCTTTCATTCCATTATGGTGATATTCTCATCTATTCCATTTATTTGCAGAGAACCTTGGATTTGAGCCATCTTAATGTAGGCTGAGATGGCTGCCATCCCACTTCCCAGAGGGAAACCCGGAAGGGCATCCCAGAGGCAGGCCTGGATCTGGAGGGCCGGTACCTGGTCCGATCTGAGGCAGCACTGCTGCTGCTACTGCTGCTGGACTCAGAGTCTGAGCTGCTCCGGGGAAGGCTGCAGTCATTACGATATACCAAGAAACTCTTCTTGACTGGCTGGTTTCCACTGCTGAAGCCATTGGCTGGTAAGTCTTGGTTGGGGGGGAAGGGGAGGAGGGAAGGAATCGGTCAGGAAGATGTAGATCAGAGATGGCACGGGGGTAAGAGGTACTTAGAGCCTGGCTTCCCTTTCTGTGCTGGAATATTCCTCCAACCTTGGCCAGCAGAGCTAGCTCTGGGTGGTGTCCACCACAGTTGGCCACAGCCCTGCCCCATCCCTTACACTTCCCTTGGCAGTTATAGACTTTAGGACACAAATGGCTTAAAGGGCAGGAGATCACCAAGGAGGATGAGAAGAGAAAAGGTGAAGTGATACAATGGAGGGGGCCTGGATGGGAATCTAGCTGGATCAGTGTCTCTGGGTTTCAGTTTCCCAGTCTGTAAAATGAGGGGACTGAATTAAATGATTCCTAAGGGCCCTTCTAGCTCTAAGATATTAAGGGAAAATGAAGGGATAGGTGGGAGTTATGTTGGGAAAGATGGTAGCTTTGCTCTCTTTGGGGACTGGGTGGTGAGGCTCACCCATTGGGGGGTCTTCTGTGGATTTATCACTGTCGCTGTCTGAGCTCGAACTGGGCCGGGGGCTCCTACCCCGCTTGCGCTGACGCAGGGAGCCCATGATGGGAAGCTGAGGGGGCCCCACAGGACTGCCTCCGTGGCTGGGGGTCATCTGGCTCTCCCGGTTTTTGGGGGGCCGGCCCGGCCTCTTGGGCGGTCCAGCTGTCTTCGGGTTCTTTTTGGAGAACAGAACTGAGGTTCTCCTGCCCACCTCATGTGCGGGGGTTGAGGACATGTTGGGACCCAGGCCTGGAGCAGAGAAAGAGAGAAGGAAAGTTGGTGAGGGGCCTGATGTGGGAAGGGTAGATGTCATCCAGGGTATGCCCTGGGTGTATAAGTCCAATACTCCAGCTATTGTTGGGGAGAGGATTTCAGGGTCATGGAATTGGGAACAGTGTCTCTTATACAAATAGCCAGAGATACAGCTAGGAAGCCTCTGATTGGGGAATGAGGGGAAAAGTACAGCTAGCTGTGCAAGAAAGACCTCTGCCTTGGGGATGGCAGGGGCTGAGTGTGTGCTGCAGAGTCAAAGTCTAATTTGCTTTGGGATCCACCTTGTTATGGGGTTCAGACCTTTGCTTGTCTCCTGGCTGCTGCTCTCCTCAGCGGCACTGTCTGTCTGCCCATCCTTGTCACAGGCTGCCGGGTGAGGTGTCAGGCTGCCCCGGCTGGAAGGGCCATGGCGCTCAGGCCCATCCCTTCCAGTTTCCCGCTGGTGGGCAAGCTTCCGCCGAAGCGCTGTCATCTCTTTCTTGATCATCTTTGCACGCCGTGAGCGGCCCACACTCTGTTTGCTGGAATTCACTTCATCCAACCGTTCCAGCAACAACTTCAGCTGCTCTTCCGCTGGCAGGTGCTTCTGGTTCTCCAGCAGGACCAGCCGCTCCTCCTCTGCTGCTAGGAGTGGGGATGGGGGGAAAGGTCAGATTCAGGGCAGGTCTTTGGACCCTTAAATCTGGACAGGCAGTAAGAAACCCACTCTTGCCCAGTTGGTGTTGCTAGATGGTTGAACCAGGAGGTCACGGTTTGATTCTTGGTCAGGGCACCTGCCCGGTTGTGGGCTCAGTCCCCAGTGTGGGGTGTGCAAGAGGCAGCTGTTCAATGATTCTCTCATAATTGATGTTTCTATCTCTCTCTACCTCTCTCTTTCTCTCTGAAATCAATAAAAATATATTAATAAAAAAGAAAAGAAAAAGAAACTTCTCCCCTCAGCTGCTCACCATGAACAGCTATAAAATAGCAGAACCAAGATGTGAACTGACAAGCATTGCTATCCATTCACCCATCTGGCTTCCTGGGGATGGCTTGTCACTGCTCAGCCTAACTGCTTCCTGCCTACACTGCCTGCTCCCAGGAGGGGACTTTTGGAAAGCTGTTCATCCCTAGCTTTGGCCTCTGTGTGTGTGTGACTCATCACCCACCATCTTCAGTGTGGTGTGGGGCCTCGTCTCCAGGCAGGTTGTGGGGGATATGCATGCCCGTCTCAAAGTCAATGCCCATTTTTTCTGCCTGGCGCCGGGCCTGGCGGAGCACAGCACCACCCTGGTCACGGAGCCGCACCGCTGCCCGGTAGAAGATGGTGTCCTTGGCGTTATACTTGAGGCAGTTGCTGACGATGAGGTTGAAGTCCTCCTCAAAATCATCAAAGTTCAGGTAGCGGTAAGCCTCCAAGTTCTGCTTCATGGTGAAAAAATCCATGGGCTTTTTGATGTGGTCTAGGTAGTCAGGTACCTGGGAGAACAGGGTAGGTGTAGCTAAGTGGAGATATGCTTCTCATTCCCCCTGAACCCCTGCCCCTAATACTACCCCTTGAAATGCATCCGTAACCTCCTCCCACCACAGTTAGAGGTAGGCATATAGCTCAGGGAAAAGAGAACTGGATTCAGTCTTGACTTTACCAGTCACAAGCTGTGTGATCTTGGCAAGTCTCTTAACCTCTCTGAGCCTTCTTTTCCTGGCCTGGAAAAGTGATAAAATTACTGCCAAAATCCACCTCCTAGAGCCGTATGAGGCTTCAACAAGAAAATAGCCAGGAGATTCCTCTGGAAATAATACCACCTTGCATTCCTATAGCTCTTTTTTGCTTATCATTAAGACTTATAAGGAGGCTGCTGCCTTAGGCCTCTCATTTTATACCTTTTAGAGAGAAGAGTCTGCCAGTCAGGACCTAGGGCTTCAGAGCTGGTTCTTTAGGTGCTGAGCCTTCTAAAGTCTCCGTTCTAGGGGTCAACACCCGGAAAGTGTCTTCCTGCCTTGCAATTATTCATTTGGCAGATTCAGTCCCTGCCTCTGGGGAGGGAGTGCAGACAGCCTCCCATTCTGGGCACTTGGGGTATGACAGGGACAAGACAGAGTCCAGGTGATGCATTTGGCTCCAGTTCATCCTGGAGCCCCAGAGCCACCAGCCCCTCTCTTCAAGGTCCCCTCCTAGTCCCTGGCCCAGACCTGCAGCAGGGGTCCAACTGGGAGAGGAACAGAAAGAAGGTGGAGTGAGGGGAAGGGATTCTTACTTCGTCCAATTCGGTTACCTCAGACAGAGGGACCGGCTCGCTGAAGATGTTGCCCGTGTCCTTCTCTTGGAGCTGCTCCAAGGTTTTGCGAAGGAGGATGAGAAAAGGGGTCAGCTGCATCTCCATGGCGATCTGCTGGACCTTGATCTGACACACATAAAGGCCCAATCAGCCAGGCCCAGGCCAGTCCTTTGGCAGAGAGGTCTTGGGAGATGGTCGAAGCTGGTTTGGGAATTTGCCTTCCTTCCCACCTTCCCACCCCTAACAGCTGAGTGTACTCACTCAGGTCTATGCTCTACAAGGCCCCACCCAATGAAACTCCCCAACTACTCTGGCCTTTCCCTTCCTTGATTTCACTTACAGCACTAGCTACCTGTATCACATAATTAAAAGTTCCATTCATTTTCTCCTCTGACATTCTGTTTCTGGTGAGCCTGAGAGCACACTGAGCATCAACCCTATTGCTTGCTGGCTAGATAATACCTGCTTTTCCTTCTCCCAGATATGTTTTCTGTAAAATAGAACTGGCCCAGGAGCACTCACCGTCTCCCTTTTGAGTTTCTCCCGCTTGCGAATCAGCTCTACCAGCAGCCGAGCCCTCTCTAGGTCATGCCGGAGCCGCTGCCAGGACTTGAGCTGTTCTTTGAGGGCCCAGTTCTTATCCTCAGACTCTCTCTGTAGAAGCAAGAAGGGCATCAGAAAATGATGAGGGAGTCAGAGGAAAGGGCAGAGGAGAGGATAGTCCAGAAAACTGGGGCTAAGGGCAGGTAAAGCCAAAGGAGGGGACCCAGGAACTTACTGGCAGGCGTGCCAACTCAAGTGGGAGCTCCTCAATCTAGGTGTGCCCTGTGCCAATGCTTGGCATACACTTATTGAGTAAATGAATAAACACATAAGAACAGTACCCTTCTACAAGTGGATAATTTGTAAGAAATTCTTCTTGGTTCTCCCTCTAGGAAGCATGCCCCTGCCATTCCCATCTCGCCTCTTCTCCACACCTTCCCCACGTAAGAAAAAAAAGTTCTTCCTGAGCCTGGTTTGAAGGCTAGCTTAAAAAAGGGAACAGTCTAAGCTCTCAGACACTGGATGCTATAGTTACAAATCTTGATCCTTATCCTCTGGTCTTAGTTCCCAGAGCCCACAGGGAATATGACACAGTACCCCAACTTGGTCACAGTTCCTCTGAGACTGCAAGTGTGTCTGCAGACGACGTAACAGTGGGACCCCATTCCGTGACTGCCGCTTCAATGTCCAGTAGCTGTGCAGCCTCTGCATGAACTGGCTTTTCCTTTGGATTGTTAGGCGGTTGGTAATTTTACTGAGCCTGGCAAACAGATAACAAATTTTCCTATGTAAAACAGGGGTCTGTAACTAGTGAGAGTTCCTAAATGGGGTTGAAAAGGGAATAAGTCTACTGTCAAGAGCAAATAGTGCCATCAATGGCACCTCAGCAGGCAGGAAGACAAGCTCCCAGCACTAATCCAGATCCCTAACCCTGCCCTGTTCCCCAGGGGGTCAGGGCGTTTGAATCCTAAGATTGCTCTATTTGATCCTGGGATACCCAACTCACCCTGAGCGTTACAAGGTACAGTATAGGAAACTGACTAGGTAAAATAAGAATTAAAAATAACTGATTATAGCCCTCCTTTGGATTCACAGTGGCAGTAATTATTTTGTGACTCCTTAAGCATTTCCCTCCCCCTTTTTCAATCCAGTTATCCTTTCAGAGTCAGACTATTTCATCTTCTGTGGCTGGTAGCTATTACATCCTCTTTCTTCCTAACTTAAACCACACCATCAAAGTGAAGGGCAGTTTGAAATATATGTTAGGTCTGCCAAATAAAACTTGGAAGTTTCTGGATCCTAATGTAAAAGTCAGGTGACTTGCCATAGCTAATCTCTTTTGGATTTTTTTCTTAAACTTCTACATAGCTACTGATAGGAAGACAGCCCAACCCTGACACTTCACTCAGGGGGCTATGAGTCTCCAGGAGGGTTTGTGCTTCCCTCACCAACCTGTCCACTGCTCCCCACATACCTGTGTGGTGGGATGCAGGGCACTGACACCACAGGTGCTGCTGCCCTCTTCTCGGCCAGGATCTTCCGTGCCTTCTTCATCTTGATCCGGGACTTGGCTTTGGCCTTCTTGACCTTCTCTGAACTCCAACTCTTACCCTCTTCTTCCTCCTCATCCTCTTCTTCCTCTCCCTCACTGTGGGACAAGGCAGGCAGCCGGCGAGCTGAACCTGGGGGCGTATGGATGTCACAGTAGGCTGTTTTGCGGACGCTGAAGGAGGTGCCATTGGCGCCTGTCTCCCGAACAGGCTCCATCTTCATGTAAAGGCCAGCTTGCTGGGCACATGTCACGTGGAAGGCTGTGTAGCAGTTGGCTTTGTGGCACTGAATGCAGGCCCCTGAGCCCCGCTGTTTGCAAATGTAGCAGGTGAGCTTCCAGCGAGCGGGCGGGATGTGCTCGATGCTGTCGATGGGCTCCAGGAAGACTGTGTTGGCGAAGCAGACCTCGGGGATCCACAGGGCACACACCACGTGGGCCCAGCGCCCGTCATCTGTCTGCTTGAAGGCACCGCCCTTGTTGGGGCACAGGGCACAGTCCACGGCCCGGGAGGGGGACTGCAGACAGCGGCGGCACAGCCACTGGCCCTCGGGGATGTAGGGGACTCCATAGCACTCCTGGTGCACGGCCAGATTGCACATGTCACAAAAGAGGATGACATTGCTGTTCTGGCATTCACCATCATTGCAGATACAGCACACAGCATCCTCATCCACGAGTGCATTGGGGTCGCCTTTGTTGTGGCTCTCAAAGTAGGACTCCTTCTCCAGCCGGTCCATTAAGTACTCAAAGATCTCCTGTGGGATGGGACTCACACCCTCCGTCTTCCGTCGTTCATTCATGATATCCAGCCAGATGTAGTCCTCTTCATCCATGTCATACTCTACCTCCTCATCCAGCTCCTCTGCTGACTTTTCAATGTACCTGCAGTGCACACAGGCAGCTCAGCATCATATGGTTGAGATTTCCCTCCATTAAAGACAGTTTGTTACATTTGCCAAGTATTCACTCTAAGCCAGGCCTGTACCTTTACATATGTTGTCTCATTCCATCCTTACCTTAACTCCAAGTACTCTAGGTCCTGTAATCATTCCTGTTTTGCAGAAAAGGAAGGAAGCAGTTTTGAGGTTACTGCACCTGCCCTATCTCTTGTGAAAAAGCGGTAGAGCTGGGAAGTGGCATTAGGCCCGCTAACTCCAAACCTCATATCCTACCTGCTACACACCCTCCTTTGGGGTGCAGAGGCTCAACCAGATTCCTAAAGGGAGGAAGATGGAGCAGCTAGGACCCATCTGGATGATGGTACAAAGAGTCAGTGGAAGGAAGTTTCTCAGGTGTCACTTGCAAATTATATGTAAGTTGTTTCAGCACCAGCGGGCAGTGTCCTGAATGGAGAGGCTATGGGTCTGGTCAGCTGTTGCCAGCACCAGCTCAGGGCTCCCTCAAACTATAGACACTGTCTTTGTTCTCTGGATAGCCCTGGGAGATAACAATCAGAATAGTTAAGATGTACTATAAGCCAGGCATTGTGCTGTTACCACATTTATTTTCACCACAGCCACAGGGTCAATGTTCTTATTGCCCTCATTTTGCAGATGAGGAAATTCAAGCTTTGAGAAGTTAATTAATTGCCCAACACAGAAAGGTCACACAATCAGGAAGTGGTAAAGCTAGGATTCAGACTCCACCCTGGGGCACTGACTGGACTCCACCCTGGGGCACTGACTGGGCTCCCCACGCCCTTACCATGCTCTGGATCACCTGGACTCTAGTATTATAAAACTATAGGGAGCTACAATAGAATGAATGGGGCTTTGGCTTCTAACAAACCTATATTTAAATCCTGGCTCTGAAAAAAATAAAAATAAAAATCTGGCTCTGCTACTTTGTGACCTTCAGGGCATCACTGCTCTTTTCTGAACCTGTTTTATTGAAGATAGAATTAAGATAATAATACTTCCTCCCAAAGATTACAAAAGTAAATGGGCTAAATCAAGTGGCACATAGCAAGCTGAACCTCTTCTCTCCACAAGGGAAATGGGGCTCTAGTGCTAGAGCAGGCCAGGCAAACAAAGGGTCTGGAGCCATGCTTTATTTTATTTAAAAATATATATTTTTATTGATTTCAGAGAGGGAGAGAGAGATAGAAACATTAGTGATGAGAGAAGCAGCATAACCCCACTGGGGATCAATCTGGGCATGTGCCCAGACCAGGAATCGAAGTGTGCTGGGCGGGAGCCATGATACTAGGCAAGTGAGCTAGCCTCCCTGGGCCTAGGTTTCCTCATCTTAAAGTGGTGATGCTAATATGAACTTATTTCATATAGCTATTGTAAGCATTAAGTGAGTTAATACAAGTAAAGTACTTAGGAACAGTACCTGGCATGTAGTAAGTACTCAATAAATGTTAGGTTTATCATTAGCTTTTGTATAACCCAGACCAACCACCTTGCCTTGGATTATAGGTGTTTATGTGTTGAACTCCTCTATAGGATAGAGGCAAGAACCATGTTTGATTTACACAGAAACAAGTCCCCAGTGTTGTTCATTTGAAAGGTACTTTGGAGGCAGAAAGGAAGAGAGATTAAAATGCTATGTCTATAGGAAGCAGCTTATTCCTTAGTCCTTTACCTCGTCCCAAAGGTGACTACAATGCCCTCATCCCTGAAAAAGGGTGTGGCTCAGAGCTAGTGTGAACCATATGGCCCCTTCCAGATCTTGTAATCACCTCCAAAACTTTTCTCTGCCAAGACATTACCTGAGAGTGCATAGCACACTTCTACAATGCACCCATATTATAGGCTACAGCACAGATAAAGTAGGTTGCGTGTCATGTAGAATTCCTGGCTCACCAGTTGACACTCCACCCTCCCACTCCCCCTCAAGAAAGCACTCAGATGCAAGAGAGAGCAAGTGGTGTTATTAGAGAGATGATCTCAAATCTTCCAAAATTTACATAGAAAGCAAATAATTTCCCAAACTAGGGCAGTTTTGCTAACAACAGTAATAAATTACATGCAACATACCTCCAATTGATACAGAACAGACCTGAGCCCCAGGATGAAAGAGTGAATCTGAGTGGAGGGAGGAAGAGAAGGAGCAGAATGAGCTAGGCTAAGCTGCCTATCAGAGCAGAGCGCCTTAGGAGGAAGCCATTAGAAGGGAGGGCAGGCCCCGAGGGTCTCTGTGTTGGGGGTGGACATGACAGTCTAACAGAAAAGAGATAGTGTAAAGTCAGAAGGAAGTGAAGCTGGGCCGAATAGATGAAAGAATGGAAGAAAGGAAGGAGACTGGGTAACACGTAAATAGGCAAGAGAAAAAAGTGACACATTGAGCCAAATTACTTAGGTTCCCACAGATTTGTTTTTATGAGATTTGCCTTTTATGACATTAGTATATCACCATATGGATGGCACTTTTGGTAAAAACTTTTCATATAAAAACTTTTCTAAGTCCTTCTCAGAGATCAAGCATTCTGATTAGTTGACACCAAATATTGCTCCTTAACTAACTCATCAGAATGCCCTTTTTGCCTTGGATGCCTAAACTCTCAGAGGTAACTTTTACACTTGGTTTTTGTACCATCCTTCAGCTAGGCTTTCTGTATGTAATTTTATGACCACATTGCCCCACCCCTTCATTTTTAACCCATGTTCAAGGAATTTAGCCTATGCCTGTGACTTTATTAAGAGCCACTGTGGGAAGAAAAAAAAAAGAGAGAGAACCACCCTGATTGACTTCTGGAAGGAAGTGGGGTACCAAGAAACAATTAAATGAAATAAATAAAAAGGCCATTGGCCAAAACTGGTTTGGCCCAGTGGATAGAGTGTTGGCCTGCGGACTGAAAGGTCCCAGGTTCGATTCCGGTCAAGGGCATGTACCTGGGTTGCGGGCACATCCCCAGTAGGGGGTGTGCAAGAGGCAGCTGATCGATGATTCTCTCTCATCGATGTTTCTAATTCTCTATCCCTCTCTCTTCCTCTCTGTAAAAAATCAATAAAATATATTAAAAAAATAAAATTAAAATAAAAAGGCCACTGGAGGATTACCAAATATAGTTGATGGAAACACTGCTTAGGCATGCTAAATGAGGGGTGACAATAACAGAACAAATAATGAGAAAATTACCCCTGCAGAATTACAAACTGCTTTTAGGTCCCCAGTCTTCTACCTTTAAGCAGGCAGAGGAACATTAAACCAGCTCTACAGACGGGGTCACTAGAACACCAGAGCCAGATGCCTTTCCCTTTTCCAAGGTCACACAGTGAGGGAGTGGAGCGAGTCAGGAACCAGAGAAGGGATCCTCTGGTACAGTGGAAACAGTGCTGCTTTGGAGTCAATGGAGCCTGGGTTTGAATACTGGGTTCAGCTACCTACTGGCCTTTGACTTTCGGTAAGTCTGGCCCCCTTTTTGTAGTTTCCTCATCTGTGGAATGAGAACAATACCTACCTAAGTGTGTTATGAGAATAACATGAAGGAGTAGTTATAGTAAGTGCCACCATCATCAGCTGGGGTACTGTTCCTCTTACTGCCCTAATAGTGTGCTCCTGCTATCCTTTATCCCTGCTACTCTCCTATCTGCTGCCTGTCACTGCTCTCAGGCTCCTGAGCCCTGCCTGACCAGTGTTCCAGAGTTAGGAGGCAGAGGTGGCCTTACCGGTAATAGGAAGTTGGCCGGGGTGGGGCATCAGGGGTGTCCTGATCCAGCTCACGGTACACAACCTCTGGCAGCTTGGGAGTGGTGCTGGCAGAAGCATTATGGTGGTGGTGATGGTTGGAATCCTTGCGCTTCTCCTTGTTCTTATGCTTGCCTGACTTGGGAGTCACAGCCGGCGTCTCAGTGTTCTCTTTGTTGCTGCCATTCTCAGGGACCTCCTCGGGGGCCTCATCATCCTCGGACACCACATCCAGGTTGTCAAAGATGCTGATGCGGTGGACGCGGCCGTGCAGGTCTACCTCCACCATGCGCTGGGCCTGGGCATAGTTTATCACCTCACGGCTGGGTGACTGGGATACCTCTGAGGGGCTGGGAGACTGCTTGTTGGCTGGGCGTGACTGGCGCCCCTTCTTCTTGTGCTTACGGAGAGGAGTCTGCTGCGGGGGTGGTGGGTTGTCGTGGTCATAATGGTACAAGTGGTACTCAATGCCACTGTAACTCTTGTACACCTTGCGGCAAGTCTCCACGGGACACTCATATGGTGGCTTAGTCGCCCGCAAGTTGTGGCAGAAAGTCTTCACGTCAAAGTCCACCCCCATGCTGTCACATCTAGAATTTACAGATTAATTAGCATAGGCCTGAGAAGAATTTATGACCACTCCCTCCAACCCTTCAAGGATCCTGGCCAGCCCACTGCTACAGCATTTGCAAATACCATCTTCTCCACATCATGGCCACAGTATGGGCCTCATCACCTCTTGCCTGGTTATTCTGCCCTATGCCTCAACTCTTCGAGCCTAATAATATTGCACAATGTGGCCAGAGTAATGTTTTTACCAAGTAGCAACAGTCATTTCAATCTATGATTAAAAGCTTTCAGCTGAAACCAGTTTGGCTCAGTGGTAGAGCGTCAGTCTGCAGACTGAAAGGTCCCAGGTTCGATTCCAGTCAGGGGCATGTACGATGGTTGCGGGCACATCCCCGGTAGGGGGTGTGCAAGAGGCAGCTGGTCTATGTTCCTCTCATCGACGTTTCTAGCTCTCTCTCTCTCTCCCTTCCTCTCTGTAAAAAATCAATTAAAAAAAAAAAAAAGCTTTCAGATGCTCCCTACTTCAGGATAATATCCAAATCCCCTATGTTGACATTCAAGTGCTCCTTTCATTGTCTGGCCTTAGTCCTCCTTTCCAGACTCTTCTCTTCACCAGCTGCATCTGTGTGTCTGTCTATCCAAGGCAACTTGCCATTTCCTTAAAGTTATAACCTCTTATTCCTGCAAGAGGATCTCTATTGGAATGTTTTCCATTCTGATTGGTGAGCTCCTACTCATTCTTCAAAACTCACATTAAATGTCACTTGTTATGCCTTCTTTGTCTCTCCTATGGGGAACTGTGCTTTCATAGCATTCCATTTTCACCTCTTTATCTCCTCCCACTAGACTGGAGCTATGCACTGCAGACACCAGAGCCTACCCACCTCTATATCCCCAGTACTTGGAATGCAAGTGGACATTCAGTTTTTGGCAAATGAATGAATAACTTGTTGAATGAATAGAGTAATGAGGGATCAGCAGATTTGGAGCTGAGAGAGATGGATGAAGGCTAGTGTAAGCCCATGTAGTAACTTGAATGGGTAGCAATGATTTAGTCCTGATATCCAGCTGAATCACTGGGTTATAGAAAGAATTAGATCATTTCTGAGGTTTTTAGAGGAAGTCTATGTCCTGGCGCTGGCAGTGGTACCAAGTCCTAAGGGTATAAACAGGAACAAGACAATTCAGGCACCCTCAACTCCATGCTGGTCCTCAGGGCCCTCCCATTCTCCTCTTCAGTGTTCCTGGGTGAATGGAGACAGCAGATGGCACCAGCCCCCAGGAAGCCCGGCTTAGTCAGAGACTGCCCCAGTTTTTTCCAGGCTTAGTTGAGTGTAACAATTCAGCTAGGGGCTTGGCACCATTCCAGGCAGTGCCACCCTGAGCTCCCTGACAAACAAGGACCCCTCTAGGCCTCTATTCTTCTGCAACTTAACCAAGCAAGTCTGCTGCTTCAGCCTCTCTTTGTCAAAGCACCCAACTTCCACGTCAGTGAAACTCCAGCTCCCTTCTACTTCCTACCTGCTCTGTGTCTTTAAACACAGACCAATCAGAAGCACAAATAAGCTCTCCTCTTTCAATGATGGGTCCCTGGTGAGCACTGCAGCTCTGCTGCACTGGCTCCCCAGCTTCCAAAGTAGCACAGAGACCCGGGCAGATGTCCCCCTGGGACTGAGTGACAGAGGCACAGGGGAGGGAGCCAAAAACTGAGATCTGAAAGGCTGTGGGCCCAAGGGGGTGGCAGCAAAACTCAGGGGGCTGGAGGAAGTTGAGGGCGGGAGCAGAAGGGATCAGGCCCTGCCCAGGCGGTGCCGCAGCCCTCTCCCGGATGAGGCGAGGTTTCTCTTTTTTCGAAGTGTAACAAGTTAAACAAGGCTTTCTCCTGAAGTTGACCCTGGTAGCCACGAAGGATACACTGTTGCCCGGGACTCTCGCTGGGAGCGAAAGGCACTGTCAGTCCTCCCGCCCGGAGGGGGCTGGAGAGGTCCGAGGGGCACCTGGGCGGGACTGCTCAGTGCGCGCCCCACAAAAGTACTCAACTCCTTCCCCGCTAGCCACTCTCCCCGCGGTCCCAGGCCCGCACTCACCGGCCACCTCGAGTCCGGGCTCATCGCCGGGGCCGCCCGCCGGGGCTCCGACCCCACTTGGCGGGGAAAGACGGGCCAGGGAGGGAGAGCCCCAATTCCGGAGACTTCAGACCTCGCCACCCCGGCCCCTTGCCGCTCCCACGCTCTGGCCCCGGCTCCCCGGGATTCCCGCGCGGACCCCTGCCGCTCCCGGTTCCGCCGGAGCCCCGGTGTCTCAGGTCAGTCGGCTGTCTCCTGTTTCGAGAGCCCCTAAGTTGCCCGGTCTCGGGACCCGGCGCCGCTGGAACAATGGAGGCTCCCGGGGGCAGCGCGGGGCCGGCGGCAGCTGAGACGGTGGCGGCAAAGGCAGGGACAGCGGCGGCGGCAGCAGCGGCGGCGGCGGCGTCTGCGCAGGGTAAACGTAGTGCCGCGGCGCTGCCCAACTGCACTTTCGCCACAAATCCCCTCCCGCCAACCGAGGCTCCGGAGACCATTCTCTGGAAATCGTAAGGGCCCCCTGAACATCCCATAGGGCTTCTCTAACACCTCCATCTTAGACTTGAGTTTATGGAGTCCGAAGTCGCGGTATCCAGGATCCGGAGTGGTCGGGCCATGTGTGTCGAATCTGCGGCTCCGAACCTTGGGCACGGGCTGGACTGGAGGAGCCCGCCCTGCTCCCTTCCCCCTCAGTCTCCTCCCTCCCTTGTCCCTCCCCGACGCTGGCGCCGGGGTTGCGGTGGAGAACTCGCCTTAGCCTCCCAGGAAGGCGGCGAGGCGGGGCTGGGGGCGGGGCAAGGAGCTAGAGGGACGTGGGTTTGAGCCTAAGGAAGACCCGGATTTATAGTAGGGGCGGGGCTGGAAAAAAAAGAAGAAACCAGTCTATGGGCGGGGTTTGGAGGGGGCGGGATTTAGGTGAGGGGGCGGGGTCACTTGTAAAATGCCTCCAGGCTAGGAGAATAGGGACTGAGCCGGGGCAAAGAGTGAGGCTATAAACCGAAAAGTGGGGCCTCAGCAAACAAAGGGCGGGGCTTTGGATGGGTCTGGAAGGTGGAGCTGAGATTGGGAGAAAGGATAGACCTGGGGAAAACGCAGCCAGGCTTCAAGGAAGGGGCGGTATTTGGGAAAGGTAAGGGGCGGAACTATACGGAAAAGGCGGTACTGGGTTAGGAATAACGGGGCGTGGTTGAAGGAAAGGGAAGGAGCTTGGGAAAGGTATTAGAGCAAGACTGGAGGCAAGGTGTGGATCCGAAAAAAGGGACCGGATTTGGGGAGGAGCAGAGGGCTGTTGGGGCGTGAAAGGGCCTGATTACGGTAAAATGGGATTCTGATGCCTGGAACCCTGTAGGTTGGCGGAGAAATGTATCAGGGTTATGGTTTGCCGAGTGGGAGATGATCTCAGGCAGAACTGGGCTCTGCTAGGTAACTGAACTGGGCTCTGCTAGGTAAGCATCATTCAGGTGCACCTGGGTTGCTGGCTCCGTCCAGGTTAGGGCACGTGCAAGAATCAACCAATGAATGCATAGGTGGGTGGGACAACAGGTCAGTGTTTCATCAATAAATTTTTTTAAAAAATATTTTTTTATGTTGATTTCAGAGAGGAAGGAAGACGGAAAGAGATAGAAACATCAATGATGAAAGAGAATCATTGATTGGCTGCCTCCTGCATGCCCCCCATCAGGATCAATCCAAGCACGTGCCCTTGACCAGAATCGAACCCAGGACCCTTCCGTTTGCAGGCCTACACTCTATCCACTGAGTCAAACCGACCAGGGCTCATCAATAAATTTTAAAAACAGACAGTTGATTTTAATGTGACTAGACCACTTTGTAGCTACATGAACTAGGGCAAGTTAAATTCTTCCTACCTCAAATTTCTTACTTGTAAAATGCAGCTCCAGAGCTTTCTTTATTGATAGTTCTTGGGGGCTTTGGAGAACTTTGGTGCAAGGGAGAGTCCATTTGTTAAACATGCTTATCACTAAGCATCTCCAATTTTGCCATGAAAGAGGAGTGTGAAAGGGTCTTTCAGGGTTTCGGGGCAAAGCCCAAAGGATCTGGAAACCTATATTTTATGTTATTGCAAACCTTGCATTTGACCCACTATAATGTATGTTTTTGTATACAGTGTTTAAAAAAACAACAACAAAAAAACCCACCCTATCGGACACTCCAGGAAGATGTTTGTTTGCTGGTTAAGATCTTGGGATCTGGAGTCAAACTGAAGAGTTCTCTTCAATAAGTGACTTAATCACTCTGAACCTCAGTTTTCTCAGTTTGTTAAATGGAGATAGAATATAGTGTCTACCTCACAGGATTGTTCTGAGGATTAAAAAAAATGATGCTTATAAATCACCTAGCAGTGTGTGATTGTAATGAATAATCAAAGAAAATATTAGCTATTTTTATTATCCTCACTTAGAAAACTCAGACTAAATGGATGAAAACAGAGTAATATAGTCATCTTAAAGCTGACCCCTTTTGCCCTAGCCCCCTGATCGGCAAACTGCAGCTCTTGAGCCACATGCGGCTCTTTGGCCCCTTAAGTGTGTCTCTTCCACAAAATACCACGGCTTGGGCGAGTCTATTTTGAAGAAGTGGCATTGCATTAGAAGTTTGTTTAAAAATTTGACTCTCTCCAAAATCGGTTTGGCTCAGTGGATAGAGCATCGTCCTGTGGACTGAGGGGTCCCAGGTTTGATTCCGGTTAGGGGCACTACCTTGGTTGTGGGCACATCCCCAGTGGGAGGTGTGCAAAAGGCGGCTGATCCATGTTTCTAACTCTCTATCCCTCTCCCTTCCTCCCGGGGTTGTGGGCTCAATCCCCAGTAGGGGCTGTGCAGGAGGCAGCCGATCAATGATTCCCTCTCATCATTGATATTTCTATATATATCTCTCTCCCTGCCTCTCTTAAAAATCAGTAAAGAAATATATATTTTTTAAAAATAGTCTGATGAAAGCTATAGCCTGTCTCCTCTGTCAGCAAAAACATACAGCTTTACTTATCACTTCCAAAAGTGTTTGAAGAATGTCCAAAGAAATGATTGGATGATTGTATATTAGGATGGGAATAAATCCTAGCTGAAGCAATCTTTGTTCCCTCCTTTTGGTGGGTCCCCTAGTCTCCCTCCCCAAGACCCATGAGACAGACAGAGATAGAGTAATTATTATTATCAGCTTTATTATTGGAATGAAGGCAGGGAGGTGGTTACAGTGCAAGGCCCTTCTGAGGGTACGGGAGTGGAGGCCTTGACCAGCCAGCACTGATCCTCCAAGCTGGCCTCCCAATGAGTTCCAGGGCTCCAGGTGCCTCTGGCTTTCTGCAGAAGCAGTGGGTGGGCGGGTGGGCAGTTTGCAGGCATTGGATAAGTAGGCTCCTTAGGGCTGCTCTGGAGCTGGGGTCGAGCTGGGGTTGGCAGGAGGTGGGGGGCGAGGCTGGATGTCCCTGGTGCGCATATAGGACAGCAGCTGCTCCGGGATCTCCGCCAGCACATCCTTGGCTAGTCGGGCCATGCTCAGCACCTGGTTCCCTGATCGGTCGACGTAGTCTCGGAATGGGACAAACTAGGACAGGCACAGACAATCAAGTGTGAGTGATGGCCAGGAGGGAGGAGAGTGGGGAAGAGAGGAAGTGGAGAGGCTTCCTCTTTAACCCCTATTATCTCTTTCTAAATATCCCTCTAACCTGAAGGATATTGCTTTCTTTCCATCCCCTTTCCCCCCCTCACTTTCTTTTTATCCTCAACTCACTCCAGTCAGGCTTCACACAATCTACCGAAACTGCTTTTGGTACTGTTGTCAACAGCCTATGTTCCCAAATCAGTCCAATGGGTAGTAATTGTCAGTCCTCATTTTACTTCTCTCTCCTTTACATTTGATCATGACACATCCACTCTTGACACACCACATTGCTGAATTTTCTCCTATCTTTCTGGATAAGCTCCCCTCTCCCCTCATTCCTCTAAGTTCTAGCTAAGCTCTAAACTTGGTTCCTTCTCTCTCAATTCTCTTCCCGAGTGATTTTATACACTCCCGTCACTTTAAAAACTGTTTCTTGTTGACTGCCAAATTTATAGATTCATCCCTATAAACGTCCAGAACCACATATATAGTTGCTTGTATCATCTCTCCATTCAGTTGTCTTAGATAACTCAAATCCAATGTGTTCACAACTGAATTCTAATCCTTTCCGCCAAATCTGCTCCTCCTTCAGCTTTTCCCTTCCCAATTAATGAGACTATTACCAATTGCTCAGGCTAGAAAACTGAGAATCATCCTGAAGCCCCACTCACTCACCATCACCATTTAATCAAATAGCTATTGTAAATTTTTTTCTTAAATAATTGTCTGGCCGAAACCAGTTTGGCTCAGTGGATAGAGCGTCAGCCTGCGGACTGAAAGGTCCCGGGTTCGATTTCAGTCAAAGGCATGTACCTTGGTTGCAGACACATCCCCAGTAGGGGGTGTGCAAGAGGCAGCTGATCGATGATTCTCTCTCATCGACGTTTCTAACTCTCCATCCCTCTCTCTTCCTCTGAGCCTCAGGGCCTTCTTCCATGCTGTTCCTCTGCCTGTAATGCTTATAGGTTTTCAGCTCAAATGTAATTTTCTCGAAGAAGCCTTTCCTGACTACCCAAGACAGCTCCTTATTATAGGCTCTCATAGTGACGTTTGCTGTTCCTCTGGAGCGCTTACCACAATCTAATGGATGTTCAGCTGTGTGATTATTATTGGTTGCCTCCATTAGAGGGCAGAGGCCTTGGGGATCTACACTGTGGATCCATAATGGCTATAGCAACCTGCTTATTTCTCACAATGATTTTGTTCAGTGAAAGCAGGAAGGCTTCGAGTGAGGGGTGAAAGATAGGTGATTAAGAAGGCAGAAGAAATAATAGCTGCCAACTTAGTCTCTCCTTCCCATCATGCCTTTCAGCTCCATGACTTCCTCTCTTTGATCAGGTCTACCTGAACGATGTCCCGCTCAGCATAGCGTCCCCTGAAGGATACACGCACATCATCACCATCCAACTCTTCCATTGCTGTAAAAAAGACACCCCTCAGCTGATTGACCTCTTCCACACCAACCAACCCATGCTGCCCATTCCCTCTCAGCTCTCCTTCGGATTTATCATGAGAATGCCTCATGATTGTCAAAGTCCTATAAATATTAGGCATTGCTATGGCATTATTATTATTATGCCTTTCCACACATTCCATCCTCCCAGGAATCCCAAGAGGGAAGTATTCGGATCAACAGCCTTGATTATGATGAGGAAGGATGTTCAGAAAAGGTCTGTGACTTGGTGAAGGCATCAATCCTATCTTTTTTCGGGGGCAGGCCTGGGTACACAGTTTCTCTTCATTTTTCCCAGTTATTGGTCCCACTCAGGGACAATCCCCATCCTACTCACCCTCAAACATGGCTGGTCCCACACCAACAATAATGATAGACATGGGCAGTGAGGAGGCCTGTGAGAGAAAGAGGATTAATGTCTGGGGTGAGTAGCCATAATAAGGGAGGTGACTGTTGAGAGCGATTTTTGTGTGCATGTGTTATATTTCTGCACATCTTGCAAGTAGAGGCACTGACTTACTTTGTTCCAGACTATTTTTGCAAGGATGTCTGCATATCAAATACATAGTGTCTTTCTTCAGAGCCAAGGGCACCTTTGTTTAATGCCCAGTATAAGAACAAAGCGGAGAAACTGGGCACTCAAGCTTGTCTTCCAAACATTACTGCCCATTATATTATAAAACAGAGGGGTTTCCTAAGCTCACGGTTTCTGTTCTCTAACGCAACTGACTGGATGCATGTGTCATCTGACTCTCTTAACATCCTCCTGTGGGAATTTGGGCTTAGAGAATAAGAGAAAATGCTGATACTCAAGCTACTGCTATTGCTGGGAATAACAGAGTTCTTCATCCCTATCCGCGGAATCTTGTGTCTTCTGCTAGCATTCATGAAACTGTCAGGCTAAATTGTTAGCTTTAAACCTCTTGACAAGTATTAGTCAATTTAATTAACATTAAATTAAAATCTCCACCCCTTCACAGTTATTAACAGTGACCCCTCCCTGCCAAGCCCTCCTCCTCAGACTCACACTGACAATAGCTTCCTTGGTCTGTGTCATGTCAGAGATGACTCCATCGGTGATGATGAGCAGAACATAGTACTGGGAACCATCAGAGATCTTGGCTGCAGCCCTGGTGAGAGGCCAAGAACAGAATCCGGCTGAAAGCCCAGAGAGACCAATGAGAACACCCTACTCCTAGAGCTTCCACAGCCAGCATGTAAGTGCCAGGCAGGGATTGGGGCTTCTGAAGTTCATGCTCCTTCCCCAGACCTGGCTGCCTGCCACTGTCTGCCAGTAACATTGTGGAGCACTTAGTATGGGAACTTCTGTGTTAGGCACTGAAGGTACACCATGAGAAAAAAACAGGCCTCTCAATGGGAGCAGATATTGATTCAAGAACCATTGAAATAGATATAAAATCACACTTATTATGAGTGCTGTGTTAGAAAGGGACACTGCTGTGAGGGTGTATAGTAAGGATTCCTGGCACAGTCCAAATCTGGAAGGAAACAATGTTTGAGGATGAAGGAGAGGTTAAATGAGGGGGGATCATTTCAGGAGGAAGGAACAGCATGGACTAAGGTCCTGTGATGGGACTGAAGGAAGCCCACCCTGCCTGGAGCCTAGAAAGTGAGGGAAGCAGACTGGACCATGTGGCTGAGGTAGGGTCGGAGCCAGACCACACAGAACTTTGTCGCCCCGGGAAGATTTTGGTGTTTATACAAGAGCATGACCCAGCCAAAACCGGTTTGGCTCAGTGGTAGAGCGTTGGTCTGCAGGCTGAAAGGTCCCAGGTTCGATTCTGGCCAGGGGCATGTACATTGGTTGCGGGCACATCCCCACTGGGGAATGTGCAGGAAGCAGCTGGTCGATGTTTCTCTCTCATCGACGTTTCTAGCTATCTCTCCCCCTTCCTCTCTGTAAAAAATCAATAAAAAAAAATATTTTTTTTAAAAAGAGCATGACCCAAAGGCTGAAGGCCTCCTTTCTTCCCTCATCTCCCCTATTTCACCTGACTCCCTTCCCCTCTCTGCTGAACACAGCCCATTTCCGGGCTGCTGGGTCAGTGTAACTCCTTTTCTTCTCTTACCATCAATCTTTGAATCCAAGATTTTTCCAGGTGAAAAGGACTTTAGAAGTGATTGGGTCCAGTTCCCTTAGTTTACATATTGAGAGAGCACAAAGGCCATGGCAGAGCCAGGTCTCCTGAAATCCATTCTCAGCCCTGTGTGTGTTGGAAAGGATGGAACTACTCCATTCAGTAAAGTATTCCTAGCCACATACGGCTATTGAAATAGAAGTGAATTAAGTTAAATAGAATCAAACATGCAGTTCCTTAGTCACCCTAGCTATGTTTCAAGTGTTCAGTGTCTGAATGTGACCATGTTGGACATTAGAGTTATAGAACATTTCTATCATCACAGAAAGTTCTATTGAACTGTGCTGCCATTTAAGCCTAATATCTAAAAATCAGAGGAAAGCATGGTGGAGAATTCAAATAGCCATGGTTCAGTTTGCCCAGTGCCTCGGGTGGGATTGGGTTATAATCTTCCTTAGCAGCCCCTGTTCTCTTTCTGAATTCTTGCCACAGCCTCTTCATAGGCCTGGACTGGTACCGTTTCCTGTCACTCATTTTACAAATATCATTGCACACCGGCTGTGTGTCAGGCACCGAGCTCAGTGCTGAGCATGCCGCAGAGAATAGAATATTGTCCTGGGGAGATGAATGCTTATACCATTATGATATAGTGAGGTTAGGGCTTTGAGGACATAACATCTAACCTAAGACAAAAGTGAATACAAGTTAGCCAGATGAAGGTGTTGCCGAGGGAGAAGAGAGGAGTGGGGGGACGGGGTGGAGAAGTAAAAGGAAAAGTGTTCCAGAGAGAGGGTTTGCATGTGCAAACCAAGATCTATGTTCTAGTGGCATATGTAGGATTACAGGAGAGAGATGAGGCTGGTATAGTGGGTGAAGGCCCACACATGAAGGGATTTGTGAGTCAGGGGCAATGGAAGGCATGGAGTGGTTTGGGGGCCAGGGAGGTACATCTCTGTAGATACCTGGCATTACCAAGGCCATTTAGACCTCTGAGATGGGTGACTGGCTGGGGGATGCCAGTCTGTGCCCCACTTGGCTACTGGGTGGTAAAAAATGAAGAGTTATCTATGATCACTAAAATCATGTCTGCAGCCTAGTTAGCATGGTTCAGTGGTTGACTGTCGACCTATGAACTAGGAAGTCACAGTTCAACTCTTAGTCAAGGCATATGCCAGGGTTGCAGGCTCGATCCCCAGTAGGGGGCGTGTAGGAGGCAGCCAATCAATGATTCTTTCTCCATCATTGATGTTTCTATCTTTCCCTTTCCCTTCAATAAAAAATATATTTAAAAAAACACCCATAGCTGCACATTTGATGTACATGATCTAATTTAATCCTTACAACCATTCTATATGGTAGGCACATTTTTATTCCTATTTTTTAAATGAGAGAATTGATCAGAGACATTAAGTAGCATCTCCAAAGGATGGTGAGGCCATGGTCCAACCTCATGCTTGACCAACTAAGCCTAAAGCCTGAGCTCTTTTTTTTTTTTTTTTTTTTTTTTTAATATATTTTATTGATTTTGTACAGAGAGGGAGGGAGAGAGATAGAGAGTTAGAAACATCGATGAGAGAGAGTCATCGATCAGCTGCCTCTTGCACACCCCCTACTGGGGATATGCCCGCAACCAAGGTACATGCCCTTGGGACCCTGGGACCCTTCAGTCCCCAAGCCGACGCTCTATCCATTGAGCCAAACCGGTCTTGGCAAGCCTGAGCTCTTGATGCCCTCTGTCCATTCCCAAGCTGTTCTTTGAATATTCCTCCATTCCACATACATGGCACATTCTGATCCTCATATACTGTTCACTCTTTCCTGAGCTTGCCCCTTCACACCTCTGTGCTTTTGGTCTTTCTGTCAGACCTTCTACTCCCTTCTCTGATAAAGTTCAACTTGCCCTCTAGACCCAGAGTGGCAGCCCCCTTCATGAGAAGGCTGCCTTGGATTTCTCAGACTAAGTTATACCCTCCTCTCGTCTCCCTCTGCCTTCTAGGATATCGCCCACTGAAATGGGCTGTGTGCCCTTACAAAATGGGTTCTTACACCCATTTGGGTACCAGCTTGTGTGCCTAGGGGGACCCAAGGCAACAGAGTATATGGCCCATCCATTGTTCTGTATGACCACGTGGATAAAGCTAGATGACAATATGTACACTTAAAACACTTTTTTTCCAGATTAAAGCAAACATGGACACACTGCGAGAGGAATGTAAAATGTGTATAAATTTTTAAGATAAAATATGGGGACTTCTAAGACATTTTCAGTCTGGCTGCTTTCAGCTGTGCCCCCAGATTCCCCTGGGGTAAGCAGTAGCTTGCCTTTGCTGACAGGCGACTTGCTGGAAAAACCTGGGAAGCTCTAGCCTACAGAAGGTAATGATTTATTTATATTTCTGTCTCTTGAACCAAGGTGGGAACTCCCAAGGGTAGAGACTAAATCTGATTCATCTGTAAGTCTCCAGTGCATCAGCAGAGAACTGAGCACACAGCTGATGCCCTTTGAATAGTAATAACTATAATAATAGTAACAGGAATAGCTAACACCTATAGTACTTATGATGTGGCAGGCACTGTTCTAAGTGCTTGACAGATGTTAATTTAGTTAGTCTTTACAACCTTGTGATGTGGATATTACTATCCTCATTGTACAAAGAGGAAACAGACAGAGGGAGGTTAAGAGCCTTGCCCAAAGTCTTACAGCTAGTAAGAGGTAGAGTGTGTGTATGAGCTAGTCCGATTCCACGTCCCACATTCATGTTATATTGCCCCTTTTCTTAATATTTATCTATTTATTTGTTAATCCTCACCAGAGCTTATTTTTCCATTGGTTTTTAGAGAGATTGGAAGGGAGGGGGGAGAGACACAGAGAGAAAAACAATGATGTGCCGAGACCGGTTCGGCTCAATGGATAGAGCATCGGCTTGGGGACTGAAGGGTCCCGGGTTCGATTCCGGTCAAGGGCATGTACCTTGGTTGCGGGCACATCCCCAGTAGGGGGTGTGCAAGAGGCAGCTGATCAATGACTCTCATCGATGTTTCTAACTCTCTTATCTCTCTCCCTTCCTCTCTGTACAAAATCAATAAAATATATTAAAAAAGAAAAAAAAAAGGAAGAAAAACATTGATGTGAGAGAGACACAACAATTGGTTGCCTCTGCAAGCAGCCCAACCAGGGCCAGGGATCAAGCCACAACCAAGGTACATATCCTTGACCAGGATTGAACCCAGGACCCTTCAGTCTGTGGGCCAATTCTCTATCCACCGGCTAGGGTTTCTTAATGTTTATTGAATGAATGAATGAATGAATGAATGAGTGAAGTTGTCCAAGATAATATTTAAGAAGTCTGTCAATAACAACTAAAGAATATGCTCAGGCTCTTGTATTAAGTGAAAACATCTGTAGTGAAATATTACATGTAATTTGACTGCAATTATGGATGCATAAGGAAAAGACTGTCAAAATACATATATATATGTGTGTGTGTGTGTGTGTGTGTATTGGGCAGTATTCTGGGTGATATCATATTTCTCCATCCTTGAAATTTTCTATAGCAATGTTATATGTTATGTTACTTTTATAATTAAAGAAACTATCATCCTTATTATGAAAAGATAATATTTTACCAGGGAAAAAGAAAGTCTATGGACATATAAATCTCCCTGAAATCCTCCCAGTTTTATCCATTTTACTTTTTTCATAATATATATTTGATTGATTTCAGAGAGGAAGGGAGAGGGAGAGAGAGAAAGAAACATCTATAAGAAAGAATCAGATTGGCTGCCTCATGCACACTTCCCAATGGGGATCAAGCCCGCAACCTGGGCATGTGCCCCTGCCTGGAATTGAACTAGGGACTCTTCTTCTTTTAAAAAATATATTTTTATTGATATCAGAGAGGAAGGGAGAAAGAGATAGAAACATCAATGTTGAGAAAGAATCACTGATTGGTTGCCTCCTGCACACCTCCTTACTGGAGATCAAGCTCACAACCTGGGCATGTGCCCTTGACTGGAATCAAACCCTGGACCGTTCAGTCTGCAGGCCAATGCTCTATCTACTGAGCCAAACCGGCTAGGGCTGAACTCGGGACTCTTTAGCCCGCAGGCCAACGCTGCATCCTCTAAGCCAAACCAGCTAGGCAGCCAATCCCCGTCAGGGTACATACAAGAAGCAACCAATGAATGCATAATCATAAATTTAAAATTTTTTAAATTTTAATGGTGGTAAAAAAAAGAAAAAGAAAAAAAAACAGTAATTATTACATTGTTATCTAATTGTAACCTCCCAACAACCCTATAAAGAAGGGGCTATTGCCGAAACCGGTTTGGCTCAGTGGTAGAGCGTTGGTCTGCGGACTGAAAGGTCCCAGGTTCGATTCCGGTCAAGGGCATGTACCTTGGTTGCGGGCACATCCCCAGTAGGGGGTGTGCAAGAGGCAACTGGTCGATGTTTCTCTCTCATCGACGTTTCTAGCTCTCTATCTCTCTCCCTTCCTCTCTGTAAAAAAAAATCAATAAAATATATTTAAAAAAAAAAAAAAAAGAAAAAAAAAAGAAGGGGCTATTGTTATCCATTATTACACCCATAATGGAGGCTTGGAGAGGTTAAATTGCATAAGTCACATAGTGAGAGGTAGAAACAGGATCGCTCCCAGATCTGATGCCAAAGCTTGTAACTTAATTGTTGTGCTTTGGCCTTTCTCTCCCCCAATCTTGATGTTTCAGCTGTTCACAGGGAGTGGGATGGGGTAGTTTGCTGATACCGTCTCTGACCCAGAATAAGGCATTTATAACCTCTTTATACAAAGGGCTGGCTAACATAAAATTTCACCCTCTCCCCAAAGCCCAAGTTCACTAAGAATGGTTCTAACTACCGTTGGGGAGTCAAGTTACCTTACCTGGCCACCTGGTTGATGACAGGAGCAAAATAGGTGGGCCCGTAGAGCTGCACTGTGCGCAGGCTCTGGAAGTAGCTCTCCAGCACACCTTCAATGCCCGCACAGTTGGGGTCCTCATCATTGTTGTTCTGTCAGGGAAGATGCCCTGCTGGGCTGGACCCATGCAGGGTACACCCAGTAGTGCTCTGATCCAAGCTCACTCCTTCCTTTTATCATCACTCTCTTTTCATGCTCCCCCCGCCACCCAAACTCCAGCCCTGCTCCCCCACCCTGCTCTTCTCCCCTAACATAGCTTCCTGCTCCTTTGCAGGTCCATGACCCTTAGAAGAAATGTAAATAGAAGAAATTTGTCAACTTGGGCCAGGGCATGGAGTGTAGGCTCTGTCCTATACCATACCAGGGGGAACTGATGGGAGATCCGTCCCTCTGGGGGCAGCTTGGCCCCAAAGCCATAGGCTGGGAAGAGCTTGTCACTGTCATAGTCCTGGATGATTTCTCCCACTGCCTTGAGGGCCATGGCATAGGCGCTGAGCTGGTAGGGACTCATGTAGTGCAGAGAGGTTGGCTGCAGGGGATTCCCTGTAGGGACACAGGAGCCCCAGCCTTATAGTCACTTGCGCATGCATCTATTCATCTGCCTATCCTGGTATGAATCCATACATCCATCCATTCATCCACCCTTCACCCATGTACTCCCTTATTATTTTATCCAATCACCCATATATTCATTTGTCCATCTGTCCACCCACCAACCCCTACATTTATCCATCAATTTATCTGTCTTCCCACATTCACCCATCCACTAGCATAATTCCATCTATCAGATTACCTATATCCATCTGCCTTTTCATTCTCTTAGACAACCATCCATCCATCCATCCATCCATCCACTTGCCCACCTGCCATTTCTTTCTTTTCCATCCAGCCATCCAGCCATATTCGTCTGCCCACCCATCCATTCATCCCTATCCATCCCATTTATTCACTTGCCTATTCTCATATGGATCCATCCACCAGTCCACTCATTCATTCCCCATATCCTTACCCATTTTACCCTCAATTTAAACATCTGTGCATTTACCCACCCACACACTCATCCAGGCATTCTATTGTTCTTACAAACCCATCTACCCTCTCTGTTCATCTGTCTATCCACCCAGTCATCACTCAACACCCATTCATCTATCCATCTCTCCTTATACCCATATTCTCTCCCATTCATTCATTCATTCATTCACCCACCCACCTCTTGAACTATATATCCTTTCAACTTTCCTGATCTATTCACGAACTTATTTTCCTATACCCTCAGCACACCCTTATACCCCATAACCTCTCCCCAGCATTCCTGCCCCAGTACCAGCCTTGCTGGACTTTGCCTCTAGCCTGTGCTTACTAGGTACATGAATTCTTATCCCTAGCTTGGAATCCAGACCAATTCTAAGGACTTCCTCCACAACCCATTCCCCAAACCATGCCTCACCATTAGAAGCTGTGAAGTCAATGGCTACTGTGAAGTTCAGCTGGGTCCTGTCAGGGAAATAGATGGATTGAGAAGTGAGGGGCCAGTACTTATTATACCAGGATTTCTCAAACACTAGTGTGCATATGAAACCTGGGCATCACGTTAAAATACAGATTCTGATCTGGATTATCTAGTTGGAAGCTGAGATTCTATATTTTTAACAAACACCCAAGTCATGCAGATACTGCTGATCTAGGGAGCCCACTTTGGGTAGCAGAATTAAATGCCTATTGTTTGAAAAGTGTATTGCATGTAATTTAACTTAACCCTCACTATAGCCTGAAAGTAGTAATTAACATCTCCATCATACATAGGAGAAAAGCAAGGCTCAGAGAAGCCAAGTACCTCAATCAGGTCTGCCTGTCACCACTGAACCAAGCAGAATGACCCGATAGTCTGCTTGGCCTTTCCCTCTCTCTTGACCTCTCCCCTCTTGCCTAGACATAACTTTGTATAGGTCCCAGTCAGATTACTGGGGTCACCTTTGAAAACCACTGGTCTTGAATCTTAGGACTGGCTCTAAGCCATCAGCAGTTGCTGCTCATCCATGGCCACATTTAAGCCATGACTTTGAGGGAGTCTGAGAGCCAGGGATAAAGCCTCGAGAACACCATGCATTTTACAGAGAGCTTTATAGTTTGCCAAGTGTTTTAAAGTTTGTTTTCATGATCTCATTGGACCCTGACAATTCATAAATTTAAAAAAACGGAGGCTCAGAACTGGGAGGAACTCATTTAGCCCAGAACTTAGCCTGTAACTTACCCTCCTTTGATGTAATCGACAAAGGTGAACTCAGAGTCCACAGAGAAAGAGAGCAGTGTCACCTGTGGGACAGAAGAGGCGGCCCTGCTACTTTAGAAAGGGTAGTTAGAGTGGCAGAAGGGAAAGGGATCCATCATGCCACCCCTGCCACACCCTGACCCACCTTCTCCAATTTTGGAAAGGCAAAAAGAGGAAGCTGCCAGAAACATATTTGGATTTCCAAAAGTATATTAAATTGGGAAATATAATTTAGATTTTAAAAAATGTTCTACAAAAGAGTAAAGATAAGAACATTTCCACAGTTGAGGAGAGGGAAAAAAAAAAAAAAAAAGGAAAAACTTAATGGTGCCACTTTGTGCTCAACATTACTAATCCAAGTAATGTGTACCTATAGCCTTCTGATACCCCTAATATGCTATGTCAGTGGAGACAGACACAGAAGGATCCAGGGAAGGCCAGACCTCCAAGGAGCACTCACAGTTCCTGAGTTGACATATTTCTTCTTCTTACATTTCTTCCGAGGGTTAAGTACCTGAGTGAGGAAGATAATAACAATAATGTGGGAAACGAGGGAGGGAACTACCAACTGATCACACTGGGATGAGGGATGACCTGGGCAACCTCGGCAGGGCTGGAGCTCTCACCTCATATACTGTAAACTGGTTCTGGGCCTTGCTCAGCTCCCGGTAGCTGGTGGTGAACTCACCAATGAAGTCATGGCTGCAACGAGGCCAGGGGTGGGTGAGTAGCAGCTGCTGCTGGCTTGGAACCAGCCCTAAAAACAGACTTTTATTCTCACTATCCTCTGGCTCTACTTGAGCTGTAGGACATTGGTGCTGGGGCCAGAAGAATGGCCAAACTAATGGGAAGAGAAGGGAAGAGACCTTGTACTAGAGACACAACTGAGGGGATCAGTTGTACCCAAGGTTTTGGTATCTATTATCACCCTTCCTGATTCCCAAACACTTTGAGGGTGCTAGTGAATGTACTACATATTATAGGGAACTGTTTGGGTTAGGTACAGGAGAAGGCAGTTCTACCTTCCATCCCGGTCCCAGTCATACACATCAATCTTCACTGTTCTGAAATGCAAAAGATAAAGATAGGCTGGGTGTGTATGACAAATCTTAGAGACATCCCCACTCCTTTACCATACACAAATTATATTCTCATCTATCCATAGGTCCTTCCATTAACATTCCTCCCATTTGTCCATCTAGTCTATGTATTCATTCATCAGTCCATATACAATACCCAACTATCTATTGCCATTACCAGGCTACTATTACTACTGCTGCTATTTGTACCACTATTGCTATTGCTATTCTTTTTTTTTTTTTTTTTTTAATATATCTTATTGATTTTTTACAGAGAGGAAGGGAGAGAGACAGAGAGCTAGAAACGTCGACGAAAAAGAAACTTCGACCAGCTGCCTCTTGCACACACCCCCACCGGGATGTGCCCGCAACCAACATACACGCCCCTGACCGGAATCGAACCCAGGACCCTTCAGTCCGCAGACCGACGCTCTACCACTGAACAAATCGGTTTCAGCCACTATTGCTATTCTTTACCACATCCTACTATATTCCAAGCATTGTTCCCAGCACTTTTCACAGTTTGTCTTATTTATCAACGACCTTACAAAGTAAGTACTATTATTCTTACTTTTTTGGATAGGAAGCTGAAGTACAAAAAAACAAAAACAAAAAAAAAACTAACAGTAATTTGACTAAGGATCATAACTGAGCTGTGATTAAACCCAGACATCCTGGTTCTAAAGACCTTGTTCTTTTTTCTTTTTCTTTTTTTTTTTTTTTTAATATAATTTATTGATTTTTCACAGAGAAGAAGAGAGAGGGATAGAGAGTTAGAAACACTGATGAGAAAGAAACATCGATCAGCTGCCTCCTGCACACCCCCTACTGGGGATGTGCCTGCAACCAAGGTACATGCCCTTGACCAGAATTGAACCCGGGACCTCTCAGTCTGCAGGCCGACACTCTATCCATTGAGCCAAACTGGTTTCGGCAAAACCTTGTTCTTAACTACTATGCCTAAGTCACCCCCATCTGTCCATCTATCTATGTGGCAGTCCATTCAACCATCTCTCTATTCATCTAGTCACCTATTTACCCATACATTTGCCAATCCAATTACATATCAATTCCTATCTTTGTCCATCCATCTAACTATGCATGCAACCATTAACTGACTCATTGATGCATGCAAGCATCCACCTGCCTGTCCATTCATCTATCCAACCAAACACCTGACCATCTGATATCTGTTCATCTGATATTCCATTCATCTATAACCATTTATATGCCCATCCATTTTTATACCACCCACCTATCTTCATACTTTCCATTTATTAGTTTATATGGTCAGCCTGTCCATCTGTTTTATACTCATCCATCAGCTAATCCATCTATCCGTCTACCATTCATTCATCTGTCCACCCATCAATATACTTGTCACTCCATTTATTTATCCTTCTGCTTTTCCAATCATCCCTCTGCCTCTCTACTCCACCAATGAGAGATCTACTCCACCAATCTCTCATATAGCCATCCATCCATTTATCTATTTACTCATCCATACATAATCTGTCCATCCACTAATCCATTCATATATCTCCCCTTCTACCCATCTATCAATCCTCTTATAACACTCATCCATATACCCATCCATCCATTAGACAATCCACCATGTATCTTCTCATTCATTTGTTCATTTGCCCATCCATCCATCCATCCACCCATCCATCCATCCATTTACCCATCCATCCACCCACCCACTTATCTATCCATCCAATCATCTCCATGCCCAAAATGTTCTCACTGAGCAGGATCCTCTAACACTATTATGACCCTTCTGACATCATTCTGAGGCCCCACTCTCATGCCCTTGTCTTCTTACTCCCTAGCTTATGCCGAAGCAGACCTGTCATAGTCTCCATTGCACAGTGCCCGTACAGGGATGCTGAAGGGCTGCCACACGGGATTCAGTGTGTTTTTCACCACCTCTGTCTTGTGGCAGATGGTGAACCTGGAGATGAACAAGAAGATTAAAACTTGCCTTTGGGTAGGACTGAACCCAGAGAGAGGGCCTGATACTCTTAGAGATTTTTGGGATTCTCCCACTTGTTAAGCACATGTTGTGTGCTGCCTTGAATGAACTCTGGACTCAGGTCCTGGTGGAGTCTATGATGCCCAACTTAAGAACCCTAATGGGCCCATGGTCACAGTGGGAGAGGTTGGGTGCCACTGGAGAAAGTAGTGACTCACGTGCCATCCTCATTGCTCCTGTAGAACACAAGGAAGGGGTCTGATTTTCCAAAGAAGTCCTTCTTGTCCAGCTTGTTTGCACACAGCTGCATGGTAGCAATGTCCTAGGGATGAAGTTGGGCCATTGACCTCGAATGTCCCATAGCCTCAGACAGTCCACTAAAGGGAGTTTGGGGAGAGATGCAAGCCTCCTGGGTCTAGCATGTGGCCCTTACTAACCCGGCAATTGCTAAGCTCCTCTGCGGTCAGCAATATGGTCCCACACTTCTTGCCTGGTACACCCCTGGAAGCAGAAAAAGCCTCTTTGTGAGGGGGGGGGAGTAGGTAACAAGGATTGGGGTGGCCAATCTGGGATGGGTGGGTGGCTCAAGGGATTCAATTTGCTATTTACTGACAGTCCCCTGAATGTGTCCCCTTCTGTCCCGAGTGGCTCCTAGTGGGGAAGGGCTTAACTTTGACTGGGGAGGGGTCCGTAGTCTGGAAGTATGGGGTTAATATAACCTAGGTGGGCATCTCATATGGTATGATGAGAAAGACATAGGATTTAAGAGTCCTGGAATTTCTATCCAGACCTGGGGCAAAGGGCCTGTTTGTCAAGTTAAAGATGCTGTGCTTTTCAAAGACTGTGATGAGTGAAATATAAAAGACAAGGGAAGCCTGGCCAGTGTTGTTGCTCAGTGGTTGAGCCCTGACCCATGAACCAAGAGGTCACTGGTTCGATTCCCAGTGAGGGCACATGCCCTGGTCTGGCTCCAATTCCAGTAGGGGTGTGCAGAGAGCAGCAGATGGATGATGTTTCTCTCTCATCAATATTTCCATCTCTCTACTCTATTCCTCTCCTTTCCCCTCTCTCTAAAATAAATAAAAACGTATTAAAAATAAAAAGACAAGGGACACCCTGGCTGGTGTTTCTAAGTGGTTAGAGCTTCAGACTGTGCACCAGTGAAGGGTTGTAGGTTCATTTCCCAGGTGAGGGCATTTGTACTCGGTTGTAGATTAGATCCCCAGCACTGGTCGTGTACTGAAGGAGGCAACCAATCAATGTGTATCTCCCCCCCTCCCTTCCTTTCACTCTCTTTAGAAATCAACGGATTAACAACAAAAGACAAAAGAAGCCTTAACCTTTCCTAACCCATGTGCATGAAGGGTGCATACCAGGACATCCATCTCCAACTTGCCTTGGTTCTCCAAATAGTCAGGAACCTTGTTGGCATGGACCTATGAACCCCAATCCTCAAAAGAACCCCAAGTATGGGAAAGAGAAAGCTAGGTCAGAAGTGTTCCGAATTCAAGTCCTGGCACCGACTTGCTATGTGATTTTCCCCATTTTATAAATGAGAATGTTGAACCATTTATTTAGCTTCTTCGATCTCTGACCTTTTGTACTTTAAAAAGACAAGTGTGATGAGTGCAGGGACTCTTCACCTGCACATCGAGGACAAAGTCACTGACCCTACTGCCTTTTGCCTCCTGGATGTTCTCTCTCACCTCCTCACCCAATATAAATTCCAGTCAGTGATTATTATAGTCACTGCCTTGCATCCTAGCCTTCTTTCCTTGTCCTTCACTCACTTTGATATACTTATTTGTCAGAACCACTGCCCTAGTTAAACCCAATTCTTTGCCCAACCCATACTGTACCTATACAATCAATATGACCAGTTGATCTCATTTTAAATTTATTTATTTATTTATTTATTTATTTATTTATTTATTTGAGAGAGAGGGTAAGATCAACTTATTTTCCACTTATTTATGCATTCATTGGTTGATTCTTGTATGTGCCCTGACTGGGATCAAACCCACAACCTTGACATATTGGGATGATGCTGTAATCAACTGAGCTATCCCAGCCAGGGCTCTAATTGGTCTAAATATATTATATATACATATTTTAAATATGTTTTTATTGGTTTCAAAGAGGAAGGGGGAGGGATAAAGATAGAAACATCAATGATGAGAGAGAATCATCGATCAGCTGCTTCCTGCACACCCCCTACTGGGAAGGGAGCCCACAACTCCGGTATGTGCCCTGACCAGGAATTGAACAGTGATCTCCTGGTTCATAGGTCAATGCTCAATCACTGAACATCACTGGCCAGCTAGCCTCATTATAAATGCATGACCACAAACCTCAAGAGGGCCCTTCAGTAATCATATGTCCCAAGATCCTTTATTCTTCAGTTTTGCTAGATGGCAGTTTCACTTCTTCTTTACTCTCCTCAAACCCAAAAAACCTCCTCCTTCATCCTCACTCTCAGCCAATGACCTTGTTTCCTACTTCACTGACAAGACTGAAGCAACCAGAAGAGAATGTCCACAGACCCACCACATCTTCTCCGCCTCCAGTATCTTCACCCACACAACTATCTTCCTACCAATGCTATAAATGACTATGCATGTGTCTATTTATCCCTCCACTGTGTGCTATATTCCCATTTTCTTTGCCTACCTACACAACCCATTTTCTTGCCTACCTACACAAGGACATCATTCCAGCAATTCCCCCTCATTTTGTTATGTCAATTTTTCAGTTTCTACTGGGTCTTTCTCTTTAACATACAAATGTGGTATATAATTTTTCTCATGTTAAAAAATTACAAAACTGCCCTAATCGGTTTGGCTCAGTGGATAGAGTGTCAGTCTGCGGTCCCAGGTTCGATTCCAGTCAAGGGCATATACCTTGGTTGCAGGCACATCCTTAATAGGAGGTGTACAGGAGGCAGCTGATTGATGTTTCTCTCTCATCGATGTTTCTAACACTATATCCCTCTCCCTTCCTCTCTATAAAAAAATCAATAAAATATATTAAAAAATAAAATAAAAAAACTATTCTTTTTTTTTTTTTTACAAAATTGATTCTTAGAGAAGAAGGGAGAGGGATAGAGTGTAAGAAACATCGATGAGAAGAAAACATCATCAATCAGCTGCTTCCTAAACACCCCGACTGGGATTGGAGCCTGCAAACGGGGCATATGCCCTGACCAGGAATTGAACCAGTGACCTCTTGGTTCATGGGTTGATGCTCAACCACAGTGCAACACCGGCCAGGCACAAAACTATTCTTGACCTCACTTTCCTCTCCAGCCACCACTCCTTTTCTCTTTTCTTTGCAGCAAAGCCTCATTGAAAGATTCCTTGACTCCCTTTCCTCTCTTCATTCTTTTCTAAATTTCTCCAACTGTCTCTCCTTCAAATTATGCTTGTCAGAGTCACCAGTGACCTCCATCTTGCTAAATCCAATGGCCAATTCCTAATTCTCACCTATTTAATATGCAAAAGTTTTTGACATGGTAGTCACTCTCTCCTCCTTGATCCACCCACGTCTTTCACTTTGCTTCCAGGACACCACCACCTAATGCTTCTTCTTAGTCTTCCTTTCTAGTTCCAACTCTTGGAACAAATCCTTTCTCTTTGATCCCCTCTCTCTCCACTCCATTGGAGAGCTCATCTAGTCTTATGGCCTTAAAGAGCATCTAAGACTCATGTATCTTAAAAAAAAAAATTATTATTGCTTTCAGAGAAGGAAGGAGAGGGAGAGAGAGAAAGAAACATCAATGATGATAGAGAATCACTGGTTGGCTGCCTCTTGCACGCCCCCTACTAGGGATCAAACACACAACCTGGACATGTGCCCTTGACTGGAATTGAACCTGGGACCTTTTAGTCCAAAGGCTGATGCTGTGAGCCAAATCAGCTAGGGCAAGACTCATGTATCTTATTGCCTATTTGACATCTCCATTTGAATGCCTAATAACAATTATAAAATTCAACAAGTCAGACTAAACTTCTGATAGAATTCCCCATCAACTTACTTTTTTTTTTTTTAATATCTCAGTTTATGACAACTTTGTTCATCCTGTTGTTCAAGTCAAAGGCTTTGGTGTCATCCTTGATTCCTCTTTTCCTCTGACATCCATATTCAATCTGTCAAAACTGTTGGCTCCATCTTCAACATCACTTCCTTTCTTTGCCCTTGCTCCCTTGGCTCCAGCCACACTGGCTTCTTGCTGCTCTTTGACACATCGGGCTTTTGCTCTGGCAGTTTCCTCTGCCTAGAACATTCTTCCTCCAGATATCTGCATGGCTCACTCCCCCCTTTCCTTCAGGTCATTGCTCTAAAGTTACCTCTCCAAGGGGCCCACTTGCCCATTCTATTTCAATCACCCTAATTCTGCTCTACTTAGCTTTTTACCATGGCACTTACTGTCTAATATGTTATGTAATTTACTTATTTATTGTGTCTATTTTGTAGGTCTCACCCCCGCTCCTTAGTGTAAGCTCCTCAGGACAGGAACTTTTGTTTTGTTCACCATTACAGCCTAAACCCCTTAAACAGTGGCCGACAGAGTATATGCCCAGTAATATTTGTGAAATGGATATCTCTGGTACCTAGCATAGGGAGTGGCATATGAAACATGCTAATAAATATTTAGTGCATAATGGACATTCCAGAGGACTTGACTTAGTGAGTGGGAACCTCATGGAGGAGAAGGGCTGGGAAGTGGACCTTATAGGTTGAAAGACTTAGAAAACCAGGGAAGACATGCCAGGCCTGAGGCTGACTTTAACAAAATCCTAGAGATTAGAGCTTCTCCCTCGAGGGTGATGGGTGCCACTGAAGGCTCCTGACCAGGAGGAATCCCAGTTTCCACTACGACCGGGTCAGCAGGATCTTTGGGAGGAGAATTTGGAGGCACCCACCCTTTCCCCCTCACCCCTTCCAGTTCAGCTTACGTGAGGGGTCGCTCTACACGGCTACCCTGGCCTCCAATCACCTCTCCCAGGGCCAGGAACGCTTGTCCCAGGAAATCCTGCACCGGGACAGGGAGTCAGCAAGGCTGGAGGGGGTGGGGGTGCAGAGTCCCAGCCCAGCCCTGGAGAAAAGCCCACACCAGCCCAGCTACAACGACCAGGTGTTTCGAGGAGATTGGACATAGCAAGAACCACCGCCCAGTCTGTGCTTTAAAAGAGCTGATGGTGGAGGGGGCGGGGGAAAGGTCCTAAGCAAGCTCCCCTTCTAGGTCCTGTCATTTTAAGCTGCTCCCCATGTTGCCATCCCACCCCTCACCTCCACCCTCCCCGCTCCGACCAGCCCGGTGCAGCCTTACCTTCTACAGGACCCAGTGGTGGCCGAGAAGAAAGAGCAGTGAGTAGGAGGCAGGTGGGAAGCCGAGGCAGGAACCGGAGAAGGGCCGGGAAGGGTGGGTTCGGACCAAAGAAGGTAGAGTCGGGGTTAAGAGGTAGGGGAGTTCCAAAGAGGGTCGTTTCACACCGAGCGACGCACGTGTGCCCAGACCGCGAGGGGACGCGCGCTCACCGGTTTGGAGATGTTGGTTTTGGAGTCCACGTTGTACCTGGAAAGAGTAAGAGCAGTGTCGGGCGGGACTCAGGGGAGAGCCTGGAAGCGGGCGAGTTTCAAGTGCTGGTTAAGACTGTGGCTGGAGGGAGAGGCTTAGACCCAAATTAAAACTGGATCTCCTTTGGGGTTGGAAAGGGTCAGACCTGTGCGAAGCCAAACCAGGGCTTGCTGGGAGTGAGGGGCGGGTGGTGGGGAGGGGCGGGGTGGGGCGGGACCTAGACGCAGGTGGAGCTAAGTTAGGAGCAGAGCTGTGGGCAGGACCAGGCTCTGGGAGTGAACTGGTTGGATGTTCACCGAAGCAAAGCAGACGCGGGGTGGAGTTAAGATTAGAGTGGAGCACTTCAAAGTGGGACCCAACCGGGCCTTGGGGAGGACTAGCCGGTGGGGGTATAGCCAGCCAGAATTTCGGGTGGATCCAGGTCGGGGGGGGGGGGGGGGGGCGGTTCAAGCCAGAATTCTGGGCGGGGCTCACACATCGAAGCGCAGGTTTTGCTTTTCTTCAAAGAAATAGTCAAGGACGAATTTGCGCACGAAGTCTGGGTTCAGTGTGTTGTCGATCACCTCGGTCCGTCCGAACTAGAGAGGGGGGTGAGGGGAGGGGAGGCGCCGAGTCACCCCGGAGCCTGCAAATCGGACAGGGGGTGTTTCGTTCCCGGGGCAGCTCCGGGCTGGAAGCGGACTCTCGGACTCACCTCCCTCCACTCCTGGCTGGCCCGGCTCTGCGTGTACAGCACCACCACTGCCGGCGGGGGCGGGGGCGGGGGCGGGGAGAGAAGGACGTCAGGTCAGTCTGCACCCCCTCCCCGCTCCTCAGTCGCGCCCGCACACCGAGTTGCCCTCCACCCCGCCTGGTGCCGCCTACTAGGGTCGGACTTGGAGAAGGTGTCGAGGTCCAGCAGGTTCCTAGAGAAAGCGACAGACAGACGGACAGAGCATGGGTCATTCTGAAGCCCACCGCCTCAACCGTGCCCTGAGCTGGGCACCCGGAGGAGGCATGGGGCTCAAACCGCACCTCCCTCCCTCATTCCTCTATCCAGCGGGGGTCCGTGTCATCAGCACCCTGGACAGCGCCGGAAACCGCAGCCCAAAGACCGCGTCCCTGCGGACCGGACACGGCCGTGTCCACAGTGTCCCCCAGGAATGAGGGTTTGCCTCAGAACTTTGTCCTCCTGGGGCCCAGAATCTACTGGATCCCCGCAACCCATCCCTTGAACCCGCAGGCTGAGTGAGCCCCCCTTTTTTTGCGGGTGGGGCTACTCAAGGAAACCCCCTCCCCGAACCCAGAGTCTGCATCCACGATTTTCCTGCTCCAGACGCTTCTTCCCCCGGGTCCAGCCCCCGCCGCCCAGCCCCGGAGCTGGCTGGGGCTGGGCAGTGCCTACGCCCTCTCCAGCTCACCGGCAGGACACGGTAATCTCAATCTTGGTGGCCGGGACGCTGCGTTCAGAGGCTCCGCTGAGAGACATGACTGGTCTCCCAGCCGGTCGGGTGTCCGGAGCAGCGGAGGGCTAGGGGCACCGGCGGCGGGCCGGCCCCTGTGCTGGCGGTGGCGGCCGCACTCCCTCCAGCACCGTGTGCTCTCCCGCCGCTCGCGCCAGGCTGTGGCCGCGGGCAGCAACTCCAGAAGGCAACACAGCCCCGCCCCGCCCTGCGGGTGGCCCCCGCCCCATTGGAGCAGCCTCAGGCTGCCCGGGAATCTTACCCGACCCCCTCCAACCCACACCTTGGGAGAATCCTTCCAGGGCATTTCTCTGGGGCAAAACCCATGCCTCCTGAAGAGCTATCCGCAGTGCTGAGGGCTTGGGGCACCTGATGGGCGATTGGGATTTCCTCTACCTAAGCCCTCCCTCAACAATCTGCTTCTCCCCCCTCCCAGTGCCGGCCTGCTTAGGTCTCAGAATAGAAAGTTACACATTTATTCACATTAGCTGTGCGACCTTGGGCAAGTTACTTAACATCTCTGCGACTCAGTGTCATTAGTAGAAAGGCCATTATAGCACCTACTTGGGGGTGTTGTAAAACTGTATTGAGATAATCCATGAAAAGGACTTGGCACAGGGGATTATACACAGTAAATTCTCAAGTGTTTGCTTCCTCTGAGCACTCATACAATGACCTCTCTTGTATTGAGAGAACTCGCTCTACCTGGTTTCGCTCAGTGGATAGTGTCAGCCTGCAAACCAAGTGGTCTAGGGTTCGATTCCAGTTGAGGGCACATCCCTTGGTTGCAGGCTCCTCCCCTGGCCCGGTCCCTGGTGGGGGCAGGAGGCAACCAATCTATGTGACACATTGATGTTTCTATCTTTCCCTCTCTTCCACTCTCTCTCAAAAGATCAATGAAAAAATATCCTCGGTTGAAGATTAACAACAAAAAAATAAAAACCATTAAAAAAACAAACAAAAAAAAAAGCGCCAGAGCTCAGTAAAACAGTGGCTATTAACAGCGCTGTGCAAGGCCCTACCCAGGTCTTTGAACCCTCATGAATTCATGGTGTTAGAGATGCAACATTCTGTGAGGATGCAGCCCTCTCTAGGTCATGCTGTACATGAGTCTGGTGGTCACACAGATCTATCCTCTCCACACCAACTACTGCCAGACCTTCCACTATAGGCAGAGGCTGCAGGTCACTTGAACCAAGACTGAGCTGCCTGCAGAATTTAAAATAAACACACATGCCGAAACCAGTTTGGCTCAGTGGTAGAGTGTCGGTCTGTGGACTGAAAGGTCCCAGGTTCGATTCCGGTCAAGGGCATGTACCTTGGTTGCGGGCACATCCCCAGTAGGGGCTGTGCAAGAGGCAGCTGGTCGATGTTTCTCTCTCATCGATGTTTCTGGCTCGCTCTCTCTCTCCCTTCCTCTCTGTAAAAAAAAATCAAAAAAATATATTTAAGAAATCATAAAATGAACACAAACATACCCACCCTGTTCCCTGTGAAATGAAAATCTCAGCAACCTCAAGTCTAGATTTCACACAACCCTAAGAATCTGCATAAACAGATTCCGTAGGTGACTAGAGCCTTATGAGGCCTGAAGACAACTGCTTCCACCCCTTAACAGCCTGACCCTATCTTACTGAGGAGACTATTATGGCTCAAGAGCTGAGGTATAGCCCCCAACCCATTTTTTCCAGCACAAGGAAGGACAGTGGGGGCTTCCGAATAACTTCACAAAGACAGCAACCAAGTGAGAATGCCCAAAAGAGCTGCTGTTTAACAAGACTTTGATTTTATTTTGTGTCAAATTGCCTATTCTCAGTGCAGGTGACCCCCTCCTCCTCAGGAAACAAGATGGAAAGGGGAGGGGGGTGCCGTCTGTGAAGTCTCAGCCTCTACAAGGCCCTAGGAAACCCCACACAGTTCTGAGTTGGTGGGAACCCAGGCAAAGATTAGGGTGGGTGGAAGGCAGTGACGAGAGGAGGGGTGGTGGTCACCAGTTAGGAAACTGGGGTTTGGAGAACCCTGTCCTTGGCCCTGCTCGGCTTTGGGGCTGCCATGTGCATGATGCAGATGGGGGAGTGAGGGCATTTCCCCCCGACTTTTAAAAAAGCACCCTTTGGCCAGGCATGGCTTTGATTCCACTCAGGGCTCAGGTGAGAGAGGAGAAAACTGTTGTGGGCTGGCTGCTTCATAAGGTGCTGCTGCTGGTGCCCCGGAGTCCAACACCACGCACAAACTGCTCCAGCAGGCCCCCAATGGCACCGGAAGGACTGGAGGCTACCGCCCCCCGAAGCCCCACTGTGCTGCTGTATGCAGCCAGAAAGGCTGAGCGCACCTCCTGCAGGCGCGTCTCCCGCTCACTCAGGGCTGCGAGCCTATGGAGGAGAAAGAATAAATGCATCACCATGGGGCAGGACCAACTTCCTCATCCTCATGTCACAATTGTTATCCTTCCGTCTTCACCAGCACAAGGCCCCAAATATTTGTCCTGTTCTCCTCTTAAACCATTCCTCTCAGTTTTCAGGTTACTGTTTGGGGGGGGACAGGCCTCACTTTTTATGGGAAACAACCATCTCTGTGATCATTAGGGAGGGGAGAAGCCAAACAGGAGGGAGTTTGCTCCAACAGCTGCTGGCTTCCATTCCTTCATAAGAACAAGCGAGTTACAAGCCTTACCTCTAACTAAAGGGAGAGACCCTAGCATCGGGCATCAGGCCTTGGCTAATCAAAGGCCTCAGCTTTCTTGAGGCCAGGACATGGAATATCCTGGGAGAAAATTCTTGGCAGTGCCCTGGAGAGGCCAGGGTCCTCAGTGGAAACCCCTAATGTTTTAGCTACACCTTTAGTCACTGTGACCCCAGGTAAACAGCTAGGAGAGTGCTGGCTTTTCCAGCAAAATTCCTGTTCTGATTCCATGTATTTTTTCCCTCTCTGGCCTCTACAGGGACTGGTCAGAAGATAGGAAATCCCTCTTCCTCACTGGCCTGGAATTACAAGTCAAGAAGAGTAAGTGCGTGAAAAGTTAAGACTCATCAATGCGATGGACAACTTGAAGCAGCGGTCACCAACCTGTGGCCCATGAGGTCCGAAAGGTTGGCGACCGCTGCCTGAAGGATTCTTTAATAGAAGAGACCTGAGGTACTGGTCACATCCAATACCTGGACTAAAAGGCATGCAGTCTAGAAGTGGGAGAGACATGGAATCAGAGGAAAGGTCAGGAACTCAAATAGAGGGAGACAGGTGACACACCTACGTTCATGTTCCCATCCGTCTAAGCACAAAGACTAGCCCTAACTTAACCCAAAATTTCTGAAAGAGACCAATCTCTGGATAATCCCTCCTGGGAATGTGTCAGAAGCAGAATAAATGTCCACAATTCCCAAGCCCAAATGACTTGCACCCGAGGGCCTGAGGAACAGATGGAGGTGTGAGAATAAATGACAGTCCTGGGTTAGTATGGGGAGAGCAGATCTAGGGAAAGTAGACTGGTGGCAGTGAAGTGTATGTGTGCATGTATTTATGACACAGAGTGAGAGAGAAATAAGAATAAGGAGGAGAAGGTGAGAGAGAGGAAGGAAGGAAGGGAGGGAGGGAAAAGGGAGGGAAGGAAGGGAAAGGAGACGGGGAAGAGGAGGAAAAGGGGGTTGTTTTAGGGAGAGAGTCAAATAACTCTTACAGCAGACTAAGAAAATGGAGCTGATATTGGATTCCTGCAATACTATGAACAACTCCAAAGTATCTCTTGACATTTGAGGCAAATGCATGGCCCTAGATCTTTACTTCTCAGGTATCATATAGGCTAGAAGGTACGTGTGCAACTTCAGCTTTTTCTTAGAGGAAGTCCAATTAGTAGTTTGTATTCACAGGGAACATCCAAAGGTCCATAGGAGAGCATTTCTGGGAGAAAAAGGGGGAGAGATCACAACCTATTTAGAGACAAAACTGGAGTCCAGGATATATGATTCACAGTAGGCAATGGTTAGGCAGGGACTGGAGCTACCAGAGTGCCATTATCTTCTCTCAAGAGATGAGCTAATAGGCTCCAAGAAGTCAAGGCTGATACCCCAAGACATAGCTGGTGAGCAAAGCAGTGAAGATTCCAATTTTCTTGATGATAAAGCCCAAGCACTGAACTCACATACTGCGTGACCTCACCAGGAATCAACCCTGACCTCACCCCTCCCCTACAGTCTTGGTTGCCGAGTTCATGTAGAACCTAGACCTCTTCTGGGAACCACCAGAACCAACCAGAATTCTGAGCTATGAGCTGAGAGCTGTCTAAGGGATAAATTGTAGACGTGGAACTAGAGTTGCCTATTTCAGTGGCTAATGCCAGGTAAGTAGGGAGTGCTATCAGGCAGGGGCAGAGATGTCTGTTTACTCCAAAGATAACTCTTAGGCCAGTGTGACTGAAATAGTCCCAACAGAAAGATGCAACTATCTTTTTTAATCCTTCAAAAATCGAAGAGAGGGACCTTGTTTCTGGCTTCATGGCATGGCTAGAGGCTGTACCAGGCACTAGTGGCCTCTGAAGTCCCTGGGCTACTCCCCAGTTGTAGGGCCAGGGCCTGGGAGTGACATCCTGGAATCCCAAGGCCCAGCCCTTGCCTGCCCTCAGCAGGGATCTTCTCAACTCCCAGGGGAGCTTGTCTCCAACCAGTCAGCTCTGGTGGGAATGAGCTGCATTTCTGATGAATCCCTAACCCGAGTTCATTCACTTGTGGTAGGGAGGCGAGGTCCCTCAGGCAGCCACAGCTGAGGTGCAGGCCAACAAGCTCGCCAGGCCGCCAGAGGCCCCCCCACCCCCGGCACCCCCACCCCCGGCATCTGATCCGCAGCAGAGCAGGCAGGGGGCAGGTGACTGCCTCAAGGGCAGTTGCTCAAGTGGATACTTTATAGGAGTTGGAAGTCCAGGATTTTGTACGCTTTTATAGGCTTGCAAGAGGACTTTATAGGCTTGGGGTTTTAATTTTTCCTGACCAGAGGCAAAAGCAGAAGACAAAAATGAAGAGGGATTGGCATAGAACCCTTGATTCTAATGGGGAGGAGCACAGCCTCAGGGCTAACCCAGCAACATTCTGGCTTTGGTCTCCACCATACACCTACCTTCACTTCCCCACTGTTCTGCTTTCAAAGGATTCTCCTGTCAGGCAAAGCCTTGGACAGAAATAGAATCTTCTATAGTTACAGTCCAGCCAGCTTTCCCACAGGATGTGCCCCAAGACACCCGGGGATGGGTGGCTTTAGAGGCTGGGGAGAGCGAACACACACTCCAACGCACTGAGCGGCCCATAACAGGCCTCCTCCAAACCTCAGGTCCATGAGCAGCAAGCACACTCAACTAAGACACTGGGATGGGGCAGGGATCCCAAGCCAGCTCCCTGGGGCCGGCTGCTGCCTCATTCCTGACCAGCACGGCTGTGTGCTCAGCAGCTTTTGATATGGGCAGGGGAGCATCCTGCCTTCTCAAGCAAGACACTTACAGACAACTGTTAGGGCGCTCCTCCTGGAAGCTGAAAGGGAGAGAGGAGTCTGGGTGCAGGACAGCCCGTTCCTGAATACTGCCACAGCCTGTGACCATCTGCCAGCTGCCATAGTCTGTGGAGAGAGAGGATCCGGGCAGGGGATGGTCCACTGATCTGGGGCAGAGAGGAGAGAGGGGAGATGATGCAGTCAGTCACATGCCTGACAGGGGAAGCACTGAAGGGGTGGGGGTTGGGTGCTACCGTGGCCCTGGGCCATGGCCGCAAGGTGCTGTTGGTGGAGCATTTGAAAAGTCAACCACTTCTGAAAAAGTGCAAAGACAGCTGGATAGACCAAGAAGGAAGAATACAGAGCATAAGACAGGCTCAGCTGTGAAGACAATGCTTAATGCAAAGACTTTCAGAAGCGAAAGAAGAGCAAAGCATGGTGACAAGAGGTGAGCCATCAACCAAAGCCTGCCCTGGTGTCTGACAGAGCAAGTGAAATATCCTCAGCACCAAAATGAGGAGAGCAAGACTGATGCCCCATATGCCCCAGCACACAGATTAGCATGGAGGCTACACAGAACCCAGGGCCACCAAGCTCCTGTCAGGGGTGGGAGAACAAGCCTCTTGGGGAGAGTGGAGGGTGGTGACCTAGATTAAGAGCCCTAGCCCCACTCTGCAGTGCCGCCCAGGAGCCCTGGTTTGTATTCACAAGCACACCCAGCTAACTCACTGGCTATGCCCAGAGGGAAGGGATGAATCAGGCAGGCAACTTGACCGCCTCACCAGGCCTGTTTCAGATGGAAGTTTGTGAAGTGCAGGGAGAGGAAAATGGTATTGGGAATCTACTGTGCCACCTCCTCCGCACTCACCGCCAACCCCTCTGTCATCTCAGGGCAGCAGTAAAGCCATTAGAAGAGAAAGGAAGAGGAAGGGATATATCAAGCAAACCCTTCCAACAGCTACCCCATGTCCCAGATCCCAGAGATTCATCATCTTTGATGTTTGACCCTTTATTCTTTAGTTCGAGAATAGCAGAAGGTGCTTCTGTAGGGACCCAGAAGCAGAGAAGAAGCATGAATGGTGGTGTAGGGAGTATGGAACAGAGAAAAACATTCACTGATCTTGGCCCACACAGCTGGCTGACGTAGAGAGCGACAGTCCCCCACATCGGTCACACCAGCCCGGCACTGCATCTCCAGGGATCCTTAACCATCCCCATTTTGGAGACAGGGAGATGTCAGCCCAGACAGGTGAAGCTAGGCAGAACAAGAAGAGATTTTTTAAAGCCAAGTTTGATTACAGGTTTGTCCTACAACAGAACTACCTTGAGACTAGGGAGAACAGATGGCTTTCTACTTTAAAGTCACCATGAATTGGAACCTCCTGTAACACAGAGACTTGCCACATTCATCATTCCTGCCAAACCCCAGAAGGTGTGTGACAGCAGCATTAGAGATGAGAACAGGATGTGGTCCGGTACCTGGTGGAAGACTCTAGTGCCCAACAAAGCAGGGCGTACTTGTTTCTAGATGGAGAAACTTGGTAGGACTCAGGCTGTCTGTAAATCGAAGAGACAGGAGAGGACAAGCCACATGCCATAGTCTGGCGCCTGCCCTCTGCTTCCTTCAGGTCATGCCTTCAGTCAGCACAACCCGCTAAGATCAGCCTGGCTCCACAGATCTCATCTACTATTCAAACCTCAGGGCAGTTTCTTTTCCAGTTTTAGTGGCTGTGGGAGAACAATTCCAAAACACCAGAGTGCTGAGGGACTGCAAGGGATGCCGAGTAGAAGAGCCTGGCAGAATGAGGCACTCCTGGGGCAAGGACCATGGTTTCTTATGCCTCCACCTTACTCACCCAGGACTATCAAGAGACACAGACCACCAACGGGAAAATAGTGGACAGATAGAATGGTTACAGTGAGGTTCCCTGCAAGGATTCCTAGTTTTGGGCCAGTCACTTCTCTTTACTTCCTCAGTGTCCAGCAGGTAGCTCCACCAGGCAAGAGTGACACCTGCAGCAGCCAGGGATCAGCTGTGAGATGGAATAGCTAGCAGAGAGCAGCAGGGGTACATGATCCCAGGGGATATGAGGCCATTTCAGCAAGTAGTCCTCTTTTTCAAGAGAACAGGCTCCAAATGAGTCTTCCTACTTGAGGTTTTTGTCAAAGGGTTGCAAAACAACTGTTCAGCTCCTGGGTTTGAGAACAAAGAACCGTGCTAAGCAGAGAGGTACTTATAAATTCGGAGTATGGATTAGCTGGCTAGAGGGGACACCTAAAGATGAAAGGAAGAGTCATCAGAAGGGAGCACAGCACCTGTACCTGCCTAGTGAAAGGAAAACTTCAAGTCAGGCTCAGTAGACAAGTAACTCGACCATTTTTAATAAGACCCCGGACCCTTTCTCAAGCACAAACAGAGTAGCAAAAACAACAACAAAAAAATTGATTTGAGCTCCACCTCCTCTATCTACAGAACTGGAGGAAATATGGGGCCAAGCTAACCTCAAACTGCAAAGCTGGAGCCAATGTTGCTTCTAAGGTCATCTGTTCATATCCCTTCGACTAAGAGGGCCCAGGAGGTTGGCTTCTCACTGACATTTCATCCCCAAGATGGATATGGCCTAGGCCCTCTTCACAGCACCAAAAAGCTACAACTCTCACATTCTCCCCATCTCCTGCCAGATACTTGCTGTGGGCCAACTGGGGCAGGTGGCTTTTTAAATTTTATTTTTTAATCTTCACCTAAGGATGTGTTTTTATTGATTTTAGAGAGGAAGGGAGAGTGGGAAAGAGAAAAACACCGCTGTGAGAGAGAAACATTGATTGGTCACTTCCCATACCTACCCTGACCAGTGATTGAACCCTGCAACGTTTTGATGCATGGGACCAATGTCCAACCACTGAGCAACACTGGCCAGGGCCAGGCAGGTGTTTTCTAGGCAGTTCTTTTTAGAGAGGGGCAGAACACTCATACAAGCCAAACTGGTGCAACCCACATAGCTGAAGCAAGAAAAAAAAGATCTGGCCTGGCCTTTTTACCTGCCTAGTGCCCTGACATGGCTCACTGGCCCTCAGATATGTAACTGATAAGGACAAATGGTTATAATTTACTGAGCATTTGTGGAAAAAATGAGTATTTACTGTGTGTCAGGTATTCATTAGGTCATTTAAACACAACTTATGGAGGCCAGGTTCATTACTCTCCCTTTAAAGATGGGATTCAAGAAACTGAGCTCACGCCGAAACCGGTTTGGCTCAGTGGTAGAGCGTCGGCCTGTGGACTGAAAGGTCCCGGGTTCGATTCCGGTCAAGGGCATGTACCTTGGTTGCAGGTGCATCCCCGGTGGGGGTGTGCAGGAGGCAGCTGGTCGATGTTTCTTTCTCATCAACGTTTCTAGCTCTCTCTCTCCCTTCCTCTCTGTAAAAAATCAATAAAATATATATTTTTAAAAAAAGAAAAAAAGAAAAAAAAGAAACTGAGCTCACAACTACAGAAATTTGCACACAGTCCACACATGGGGTGCACCTGGAGCACTCAGCTTGGGTGACCAGGGAGACTCCACCATGGGGCACTACAGTGTACCTACTACACAGGCCACTCTGCCAAGACAGGGAGATGAAGCATCTCTAACACACAGCAACAAACATGGAGAGGCAGCCAAAATGAGGAGACAGAGAAACATGTCCCAAATGAAAGAACAGAACCAAACTCCAGAAAAAGATCTAAATAAAATGGAGAAATGCAATCTACCAGATGCACAGCTCAAAACCCAAGTTATGCCTTGGCTGGTGTGGCTCAGTCGGACGAGCGATATCCCATGCACCAAAAGGTCACTAGTTCAATTTCTGGTCAGGGCACAAGCTCAGGTTTTGGGTGTGATCACAGTTGGAGTGTGTGCGATGTTGCCTCCCTCCCGTATAGATGTTTCATTCTCTGACTTTCCTTCTTTCATCTCTCTCTCTAAAATAAAAAATAAAAAACATCTCCAGTTATAAGGACTTTCAGGAAAGAATAGATGAACTTCAATTTCAATAAAAAGAGATAGAAAGGATCCATAAAAATGGAGATAGAAGCATAAAGACCCAGTCAAAAATGAATACAGTACCTGAAATGAAAAATACATCAGAGGGAAATCAATAATAGATGAAACAGAGGATCAAATCAGTGATTCAGAAGACAAGGAAGCAGAAAACACCCAATCAGAACAGCAAAAAGAAAAAAGAACCCAAAAAGTGAGGAGAGATCAGGGACAACTTCAAGAGTATCAACATTCTCATCTTGGGGGTGCTGGGAAGAGAAGACATAGAGAAATTGAAAATCTACTTGAAGAAGTAATCACTGAAAATTTCCCTAACCTGGTCAAGGAAAAAGATACAAAAGTCCAGGAAGCACAGAGAGCCCCAAACAGTATGAACCTAGGGGCCCATATCAAGACACATCATTAATTGCCCTAGTCGGTTTGGCTCAGCGGATAGAGCATCGTCCTGTGGACTAAAGGATCCCGGATTTGATTCCTCGGTTGCGGGCTCGATCCTCAGTAAGGGGGCATGCACAAGGAAGCTAACCAATTATTCTCATCAATGATGTTTCTCTATCTCTCTCCCTTCCTCTCTGAAATCAATAAAAATATATTTTAAAAACACATCATAATTAAAATGCAAAAGGCTAAAGACAGAGATTCTTAAAAGAAAACAGTTACCAACAAAGGAGTGCCCATAAGACTGTCAGCTGATTTCCAACAAAATTTTACAGGCCAGAAGGGACTGGCCTGAAATTTTCTAAGTAATGAAAAGCAATAACCTACAACCAAGATTATCATTTAGAAAGAAAGGACAGACAAAGAGCTTTCCAGACAGGCAAAAGCAAAAGGAGGTCATCACCACCAAAACAGTATAAAAAATGCTAAAGGGCCTTCTTTAAGAAAAAGGAAAAAAATATGAAGGAAAATGGCAGTAAATGCATATCAACAATTACTTTAAATGCAAATAGATTAAATACTCCAGTCAAAAGATATATAGTGTGCCAAAGCCGGTTTGGCTCAGTGGTAGAGCGTCGGTCTGCAGACTGAAGGGTCCAGGGTTCGATTCCAGTCAAGGGCATGTACATTGGTTGTGGGCACATCCCCGGTAGGGGGTGTGCAAGAGGCAGCTGGTCGATGTTTCTCTC